GGACATGGGACTGTGGAGGCGGCGCGTGCATGATGCCGTGTTTCCGGCGGGTCAAGCTTTTTTTTTGCTTCTAGAGATGAGGAGCTTGACGTCAAGCCTGTGAAGTCATAGTTATGCGATCGCTTTGGCTAGACAATCAACCATGGAGTTGGCACTTGGATGCTCAAAGAATGAATTGGGGTATCGAATTTGCTATCGCGGAAATATACATGTGGGCCAATGTTCGCTTCGGATGTGGGTAGCGAGATGAGAGACGGCTCATCCATTTTTTCCGCCTCTCTTGTGTCTCATCTAGAGTTTGATGGAACTTAGCGACTGGCCATGCTGGCTCTCCTGGCCTCGAGGACAGCATCCTCGTGCGTAGGTGGGCCCTCGTAGTTCTTCTTTCCCCAGACGAAATACCAGATGGTTGAGATGACGACGACGGCGGCAAGGACGACGGAGGCGTAGTTCATCGACGCAGGGGTAACCTCGCGGAAAGTGGGCATGCAGAACAGAGGTGTTGCAAGGGCGGACCAGGCTGTTTTTTGTTAGCGATTGCGTTATGACAGTGAAATAGTGATGTAACATACCAAGGGCAACGACATTGCAGAACGTGCCGAGCATGCCGAGATGGAACGCGCCATCCTTGACCTGCTTACGGCCAGTCATGAGCGAGACAAAGATGGGAGCAGCGTAACTCAATGTCAAGCAAATGACACCAACACCAGAGAAGGCGTTGAAAGCGGCAGCAGCACCGAAGTAAATGAGACCGAGAGCGATCTGGACCACCATACTGAGCATCATGGCGTTGACTGGGACATCGAGGTTGGTGTTGACGACCCTCCACAGCTTGTAGCCGGGAATGGCACCGTCACGAGAGAAGGCCCAGGTAGCGCGAGACGCAGCTGTCGTGCAGCCGATACCGCAAAGCAGACCGAGGACGAGCAGGGGAACAAGAAGTCCGATGGCACCAGCGGAGGACCCTACGGCTTCCTTGATGATGACAGGCGTAGGCTGGCCGGACAAAAGACCTGCGAGCATGGCTTGGTCGGGCAGTACGAAGACGAGAGGGATAAGAAAGACGAGGCCGGCAACGGTGTTGAATGCGACGGTCGCGACCATGGCCTTGGGGACCTGAGTGGCAGGTTCGCGAACTTCTTCGCACATGCTACGAACGTGTTAGCGTTTGGACAATTGTTTTTAAGAGTTACCGCTTGTAGACACGTATAATGTCGCGATGGAGTGTGTTGCTTGGGATGTCGCTTAGGAAATGTCGCATGGGATAGTCGCTTGGGAAAGTGCATTGGGCAAGGAAAATCTGCTGCAAGTTGCTTGGGCAGAGTAGGGGAGGCTCACGAGATGATCATTCCGGTCGATGAAGTCGCGTAGGCTGCGTGCAGTAATCCGACCATGAAAGACCATCCTGGGATCCATCCGGAGTTGGAGGGGTCGAATTCAGTGAAGACGTATTCGGCGCTGTGGCGACCATTTTTCGCAATGGCAAGGATGCAGACGATAATGGCAATCACACCAGCAAAGGTCCAGAAGATGGCAAAAGTCTAGATATCTGTAAGTAACACATCCGGTAGCCGTTTGGGGGGGATCTCACATCCAACCATGGTAGGTATTTGTTTCCAAAGGCAGACACGGCGTTGCAAAGGAGTGTGATGCCAAGGAAGATAAGGAAGACCTGGTAGGGTGATCCTGCCATGATACCAACACCAGGTTCGCTTTCGTAGACATTGACGCATGCCACAAGGAACAGCGCGGTAGCAAAGTTGACGGATAGAGTAATGGTAATGTTGCCAACTACGAAACACCAGCCACAGATCCACGAAGCGATTTTCCGATAGGCGGGCGGCGTGATCATGAAGGTCTGGTAGTAGACACCACCACTGGTCGGGTAGACACTGGTGATCTCACCAAGGGATGCGGCGACTGCGAGAATGATAAGCGATACGGCGAGCCATCCCCAGATGATGTTGGTGGGACCTCCGCCAACTACAGGGTAGTAGAGGGTGGTAGCCAAGCCGTAAGGGACGGAAGCCAGGACAAAGGACATGAAGGCCACCTGGAGAGTGGATCTTGATCGAATCAGTTCCGACTTGTAGCCCATGGCAGCCAGAAGGTTGTCGGCATCAGCGGGGACGACATCGTCTCCGGATCCCGAGTAGGTGTTGCCCAGCTTGGTCTCTTTCTCGGGCGCGCCGTTGCGCAGAGAGTGGTCGTGCTCAGCGGCATACGCATCTGACTGCGTGCCGTACCTGTAGTCGGACATGAGGGGCGTGTCGCTTTGGTCCTGGGTCTGGGGGCCTGAGAGAGAGGGAGAGTTGGGGAGTTGTCGCAAAGCAAAGCTCTGGGACATGTCCCCAGCGGCGGATCAGCGCAGGCTTTGAAGGGCTGCAGAGGCACGTCAGTCGGCGCATGGTCCAGGCCCGCTAGCCAGCATGTAGACAAGTCGCCTTAGACTACCCACCCGAATTTCAGATGGCAACAGACGCGGAGCTTGGCGGGCCAATTGCTGGTGGAGGGTGGCCGGATAGGGCTGTTTTACTGCGCCGAGAAAATCACCGACTGAGTGGGAACTACAGTCTAATGCATCCGCGTTCCGTCGCCTAGGTGTTGAGGTTTTTTCTAGAAGTGGGCCAGAAGCTGAGCCGCCGTGTGCCGACGAGCAGCCGGCGATGAAAGGACCCTGACGTGGTCTTTGGAGGTGCGCACGTTGCTGAGCCTCACTCGGCTGTTGCAGAGTTTGCAGGGCAATCGCAGTGAACGCGTGGGGTGATGTTACTTCCATTGCCAGTTGCTGGCTTGCGCGCCAATGGGGGTCGCCGATGGCTCGAGATTGGCGTCGTAGCGGGCGTCCAGCGGGCGTCCATCTCGGCACACGATCCGTATTCGTGGGTAGAGTCCGGGGCACTGGTCGCGTGTGCATAACGCGCTGAAAAACACATGGGAGGCGTTTGCGGAGCCAGCCCAGATATCGAGATAGGGGTGAATGGAGATGTCAGTGTCGGCATGCCAGAGTGGAGTCGGCATTTGATGCTACACCTGCCCAGCGCCTTCCCCTCGCTCCTTCGCTCCTTCCGTTGACAACGCGCCCTAACATGTCGCATGCGGCAGTAGCGGACCCAAACCAAACTTGGCAGCATGAGGCGTTCCATCGCCAGCATAAAATGGCGATAATGGGCGTCTGGAGCAGCGCCAGCCTTGCGCCGAATGCTGTGTAACTGTGTCGCCATGCATCACGAGATTGTAGCCCTTGAGGAGCATCAGCAGCCCCTCCCCATCCACGGATTCACCTTCCCAGCCTCCACAACCCACAAACTGACAGCGTACAAGACCACGTCGACTCGTGAAGAGCTCCACTCGCGCATCCACGATGCAACGATAATAATTACTACCACCATTAAGCTTGATGCCGAAACATTGCGCCCCAGTGTTACTCCGAACCTCCGCTATATTGCCATATCCGCGACCGGAACAGACCCTGTGGACCTGGACGCCTGCCGGGCCCGCAATATTCGCGTTACAAACTGCCCGGGGGCCAACCTCGACGCGGTTTCGGAACATGCCATAAGTCTGTACTTCGCATCCAGAAGGCGCACCGTCTTGCTGGACCGCATCACTCGTGCGCACCCCAGCGAATGGAAGACGGCGGGTAGCGTGAAGAATCACATGCGCCTGCCGGACGGCATGCCTCCGATGACCTGCAAAGATGAGGTTATGGGCGTTATCGGCTATGGGGGCATAGGTAGGTCTTCATATCCTAATCAGGATGAGAAGTCCTGAGCTGATACGGGATGATAGGCAAGCGAATAGCTGCGCTCGGGCAAGCATTGGGCATGCGCGTACTTATCGCGAGTCGAAAGACACCAGCGACGCCTCCCGTAGACACCGGGCTTCCAGCCCCTGACGCCTCTGACGACCGCATACCCTTTGACGATGTGCTCCGCAACTCCACAGTCCTCGTCCTAGCTCTACCGCGAACCCCCGAGACGCTCAACCTCATCTCTACTCCCGAGCTCGAGAAGATGCATCCGTATACCGTCATAATCAACGTCGCGAGAGGCGGCATAGTACACGAAGCTGCTGTAGTGCAGGCCCTGAAGCAGAGGCGCATAGCCGGCTATGCGACGGACGTATATCAGGTGGAACCACTTGGTGGACCTGCAGATACCCCGCTGCTGGAGGAAGACGTAAAGGACCTCAACATTACCCTGAGTCCGCACGTGGCATGGTTTTCGACAACGTCGATCAAGAACCTTGGTGAAATATTGAAGGCGACTGTAGAGGGCATGGTGAGCGGCAATGAGATCAATGCCATTCTGTAAACGGAAGATATCGCAAACCGAGGAACCCCAAACACGAGCACATATGCCCTCGTGGGGTACTTTCATCATCAACGTTGACGTCCAAAGTCCAGTGAGAGTTATACGCTTATCTGACACTGGCCATGTCCACATCAAAGGCTCTTGCACTTCTACCAAAATCCTCACAGCTCAGCCATGTCCCTGGACCATTCTATGTGGACGTATGGTCGTATCAAGGCATAAATCCCAAAGGTATACGAGTTGGTTAAGTGTTGTGCGTGGTTTCGTACATGTTTTTCTCTCTTTTCACTTTCACTTTCACTTTTCACTTTCACTTCAAGACGTGTGTTTTCACCGCGCGCGGTTCTTTCGCGTTTCGTTTGACGTGCTCCACTCCACATGCGTTCCAATGGATGTCATTTCGCTACCGTTCTTTTCATACTGTGCGCCCACTCAGAGCATGCCAAAAGGTCGAAAAAGTCTTCAAAACTGGTACGAGCGTCTCCTGTCACCGCTCGTTGTGCGACAGGCGGAGTCTGTCGGCCCGTGGCACTGCAACCGTCCCCTTCGTATGAGACCCTTCGCATGAGAGCGACCTCCCGCACGCGCCCCCTTCCCCGTCCAGACACGCGACAGTCCTGACCGATACCCCCGTCTTGTGGATAAGTTCAGCTTATGGTAACAGCATAGACCCTACTGCGCGACATGGCTTCGTCGGGCGAGCGCCTTCGCGACTGGTCCTTCGAAGGTTCCTACACCAATCAAGATGATCTTTGGAGCGCCCATTACCTTTTCCCTAAGATCGGCAAGGAAGCCAGCGAAGAATTCGTCCAATTCTTTCGGGATCGGGGCATAACAACGCCTACGCTAGACGATGGCGTCGAGCAATATCTCAAGCTGCAAACGACGCTCTGGAAGAAGCCCTCTCGCGTTGCAAAACCAGGCCATCAGTCTTTGAGGTTTATGAGCGCTGCCCAAACCTATCGCTGGAGCTATGATCAGGTTCTCGCTGAGCATGCAGAGCTTGTCATACAGCTCCTCGAAGGAAGAGGATCCGGAACACGATATCAAACAATGTGCGACGTCGTCTTCATCTTGGACGACAAGTCAAAGAAACCCTGCGGCAACCCCTCCTGTCCTACTACAGAGAGGAAGTTCACTGGACAAGTCCAATCCTCTCTTGTCGTCACACTCGAGCCGCTACTTGACTGGGGAACTGTTGAGCCGGCCTCAGACATCACCGTAGCTGCCGGTAGAATCTTCCCATTTCGCCGTAGCGGACCACGGATGAAGGATCCGTTGTGGACGCAGGTGGTCAGGAAGCTGGTGCCTCAGCAGCTACCCACCTACTGTCTGGGCTGTATTGGAGAGCTTGTTGACAGACATGCGGAGGTGCGTCTCGTAGGGCGTCCTAAATATGTATGTTACAACCGATCTCCCAACATCATGACGACTTTGTCGCATGAACATGGCAACATGATGGAAATCTCTACTGACTTTGTCCAACAGGCGCCCGCCGGTCAACCTCAAGGAGCTAGGCACCTCCATTCCCTAATCCGGCCTATTCGGCGTCCTACATCGAAGGAAGATTTGTACGATCTGAGGGAGGGTGACGACTTGGAGGACGATCAGAGCGTTGGAGGGCTGGCTTATTCAACCACTGGCTCGCTATATCTCGATGGCGTCACAGACGAAACTCCACATACACAACCCATTGACTTCACGTCCTACCACAGTCTTGGAATCTTCTCTACACCCAAAGATCGCGAGGCGTCATGGACAAGTGCGTACAATGCCCTCTTCGTTGGGGACAAAAGGAGCGCTGGTGAACCGCTTTCTCCACAGTGCTCTCCACGCTCTTTCACAACTCCGCTGGATTCAACTAGTCTCAACCGTGTCTACTCCCCACTCCCATCCTTGGGCTTCTCTTACAACACTCCGCCGCCGACTCCTGTAAACCCAAAGAAGCGCATCTCAAAGACGCGCATCTACGTCCATCGAGATCCGGAGTCTGTACAACACGAAGATTACGAAAAGCTCGGCAGCAAGTCACTGCTACCAGGCAGTATCCCAGATTTCGGCAGTGGTAGTCGCAGGTTCGGTCGCGATATTGATACTAACGCTGTCCGCGGCTTCTTCACCGATCACCGTGTACGGCGAGAAAACATGGCCGGAGCGAAGGGCACCGACATCCGCAACTTCTTCACGGTAATAAATCCTGAGGGTCCCTCGACACCTCAACGCGCGGTCAAGACCAAGAACGTTGATGGTGACGATACGGACTTGAGCGATGTACCATCCGACATATCAGAACAGGAATATGACCCAGATGGACCGGGCGGCGAGTATACGCCTGCGAAGAACAAAGGCAAAGCATCGTCAAACAAGAAAACGCCAAGCCCTCCGTCAAAACCCGCAGGCAAGAAACACTCACCGAAGGCGCCCATGTACCGCAAACGCGACCCAGCCGCTGATTATACCGCGCCATTTGGCGTCACCAAAGAAGCCTTCGAAACCCACCTCCAGCATCTTCCCGCCAAAACCGACCTAATCTGCTCCTGCCGCAAACCCGCTCGCACCAACGAGGTCCAGATCACACAGTGTATGAACAAGGACTGCAGAGTGCGCTGGTACCACAAGGAATGTCTCGATAGGATCGGAAAGTTGAAAGCTAGACACGGAACGTACTTCTGCGAGCAGTGTCAAAACGAGAAGTACTATGCAGATCTCTCTCAGGCCAACGGATGGACTACGAAGAAGTTGGTACAGAATGAGATTGGAATGCCGTTTACGGGACAAGAGGTGGCGGGCACGTTTGGCAACACCGGCGACTTTCAAGCTGCGGAGAATCCGTATGGTTTTGGGATGTCGGCTTCAAGTCCGCTATCTCCCTCGGCTGAACCTTTCGTCCCGAACAGTGCGGCGGCGTTAAGTCGTCTTGCTGTGGGCTCTGAGCCTTCTCTTGGCCTGGCGACTTCGCGGCCGTATTTCGTGAACGAGGCTTATACCCGGGGACAGGAGCATGCGCGTAATGCGGACGAAGACTATGAGCATGCACGACTGTATGGATGTTACCCTGAGAGGTGCGATGAGGATGGTAATGACGGCGATGACGAGGACAGTTACGGTGAAGATGAAGATGAGGAGATGGATCAGACATCATAGGAGAGCCTCATGGATGTGGTTGGATATACGGTTCACACACACGAGGCGAGTCGCTGCTTCCGAGTTGTACCTGACGCCTGAACTACGCGCCTAAGTTGTACATTAGGATATACTGTGTCGGTAGGAATCATGATGAAGATATTTAATGTCATTCTCTGCGTGATACCAGACTCACGGACATGCCTTTTGCGAGATGGTAGATAAATCGAGATAATGGATGTCAAGCGCGTCCGGACGAAAAGCGGGGGAGCTGCGAATGGCGTCATGCGTGCCACGCGATAATGACGCGACACCAATCGGCCGTACCCGCTTTGGATGCAAGGTTGCGGAATTGGCGGAATGCAAAGTTATTCCGCTGTTTGATATATGAAACTGGGACGCGTTCGCTATTTTGAGTAAGCATCTGATTGCTAACCGTTCACCGTGCTGACAATCCTCCAAAGTCGCGTGCCGTACTGACCTATCATGACCACCTCACAAAAGCGCATCGGCCTCATTGGCCTGTCTGCTAAAGGGTACATTCGCATTGTTCCTGAACTGATGAGCATCGGCAGTTGACACAACACCAGATCCTGGGCATCGAAGTCCCATCTTCCCTACCTCCAACGCACTCCTCACTATGCGCTCACCGCCCTTCAGAACAGCTCTCTCGCTTCAGCTCAGGCTTCCGCCAAACAGTACTCTCTGGACTCTGTATCCACGCACGACTCTCCCAGCTCGGTCGCCCAGGACCCTAACGTAGACATCATTGCTGTTAGCGTCAACGTGCCCCAACACTATGATCTCATCCGTCCGGCCCTGGAAGCGGGAAAAGATGTTTTCTGCGAATGGCCATTAGCTCGCAATGAGAAAGAAGCAGAAGAATTGACGGCGTTGGCTAAAGAGAAAGGGGTCAGGACGATGGTGGGCTTGCAAGCGCGCCAGAACCCATCAATCTTGAAGGCGAAGGAGATTGTTGAGTCGGGGAAGCTGGGCAAGATCTTGGGGACGACAATGTTCGGTCATGTGAGTTCTCATGTCTATCCTTCTGAAACTGAATGGAAAGCATATTTTCTATGGGATGAACAAGCCTGCTAACGCAGAAACCAACAGGGCATGATATTCGGCGGCACAACTATGCCCTCTTACATGTACATGCACCCCGTTGAGAACGGCGCAAACATCCTCACTATCCCCTTCGGCCACGCCGTTGACGCTCTATGCTACGTATTTTCCAGCGAACTACGCTCCATTTCCGCGGTGCTGTCGAACAGATACCCCGAGCTCGAACTCGTAGACGAGAACTACAAGCCCCTTGGAGAAAAGAAGGCGAAAACCTCTCATGACTTCGTCTCCATCACCGCAGAACTCATCAATGGCGGCGGAAACGTCGACGTGACATATGCGCCAGGTTTTTCACGCACCGGACGGGACTTTTACTGGGAGATCATCGGATCTGAGGGTACGCTCGTGTTGGAAGGACCGAACGGACATGTGCAGATGTTCCAGCCTACAGTCAAGATCGCCCTGGGCCAAGAGGGATTGAAAGAGGTTGAGGTCGAGAACGCTGCGGACCCTTCGTTCAATGTGGGTAGGGCCTGGGATGCATGGGCTGGAGAGGGCAAGGGCAGTGTTACGACTTGGGAGGAGGCTGTTGTGAGGCATAAGATGATTGAGGCGATTTATAGAAGTGCGGAGAAGGGAACGAGGGAGGACTATGTATAAGCGGCCAGATCAGAGGTACATCTATAGGTATGTGTAAGAAGACCGGAATAAGAAGTTGATAGAATCGGGATAAACAAATAGAGTTTAGCGTCAAAATCTTCGGCTACATCCCGGCTCAACGCCTACATCACATCCCCTCTATCATCACCATCCTCCATCGCCAAAACCTTCGCAACCCTCTAAAGAACCTCATCCACCATGCGCACTAATCCCTATCCCCAGGATTCCTCGATCTTAGATGCCCCCGCCCCACAATGCCAGACCGACGGCCCGCCAAGCCAGCGCTTGCCTCGCTTCCACTTTTCGTTACGTTATAGTTAACAAGGCCGCACGAGCGATCCAGTGAACTTAGTCAGGCATGTTATGAACCGTGATGTCAGCGAGAGTCAGGTTTTTGTCTGCACCTGCCATGGTGACCGCCGAGCGAAATGGGGCGAGCTTGTTGTTGGTTCTCCATACTCCACTCGACAAACAAGCTCCAGACAACATCGGTTTCTTGGGTTTGGTGCTTGTGAAAGGCTTGTGTTCTGAGAAGGTCTTTTCCGGCTCATGCGGATTCTGAGCTCTGGGGTCTCATTGTGAAACCAACAAAGGGTAGTTTTACGGCAAAAGGCGCGTGCCGCTGCGGATAGCTGCATCTACGCGTTTGGTTACATGAATCGCACTCGAGCTACAACAGTATATTACCTGTGATTGGACTGGGAAGGGCGTGAAGGTGTGTATCGGTGACTGTTGCTTAGTCGCACCCTCGCCTCCAACAACCCGACTTATAAGCCAGACCCGGCAACGCTAGGTCCGTCTTAGCCGTGGCCTCTACTCCATCATGGCTTCTCCAACACCGACTTCGACATCTTCGGCAAGTCTAAGCTCGCAGACGACAGAGGAAAAGCGAGATCATCGATCGAACCAGGATGTATCAGGAGCATCTACACCACCACCCACCTCAAAGTCCGATCCTACATTCATCACCTGGACCTCACCAACAGACCCATCCAACCCCTTCAACTTCTCTCCGTCGAAAAAATGGCGGACTACCCTTCTAGCCTGTACCATGACCTTCGTCGTCCAAGTCTCAGGCACAATGCTCACATCCGCCGCCGAGCAAATCAACTCCAGCTTCGACGTCAGCGATGAAGCATTTCCGCACTCGTACTGGCCGGTGTTGAGTTGGAACCTAGGAGGCGCCGCAGCACCACTACTAGGACTGCCCCTGATGGAGAACTTCGGTGTGCGGTGGAGTTATATGGCCATCTACGCGGTGTTGATCATCTTCATCATTCCGCAAGCGTTGGCCGAGAACTTCGCGACGTTGATTGTGACGAGGATCATCACGGGTTCGTGCTCGGGTGTCCTTGCGAATATCACGTCGGGGATTGTAAGCGATATCTGGAGGGATGGGAGAGCAAAGAGTTTCGGGACGTCGCTTTACATCTTCGCATTGCTTGCGGGGCTTAATATGGGGCCTGTGTTTGGTAGTTTGGTCGTTCAGTATACGACTTGGCGATGGTAAGATATGCTTTAGTTGCTGCGCGGGACTTTGGCTAATGTGGACGTAGGATCTTTCTGAGTCAGATCATCTTCTACAGCGCTCTTATGCCGGTGCTGTTCTTCCTTCTTCCAGAAGTTCGGCCGGATGTTATCCTCACTCAGCGTGCACGTCATATTCGTGCCAAGACGGGGAAAGAGGTGTATGCCCAGGCTGAGAAAGAGCACACAAGTTTCGGCGAAATTCTCAAGGAGACGCTCGTTCGACCAACGCGTATGCTGTGTACCGAAGGCGTCGTCCTCTCCTTTGGGCTGTGGAGCGCTTTCTGCATCGGCACAGCTTTCATGTTCACGCAATCCATCGTACAAGTCTTCTCAGAGCTGTACGGCTGGTCTTTCTTCGGCACAGGCCTCGTGCAATCCGCCGTCGTAATCGGAGAGCTCATCGGCCTTATCGCATCACTAGTCCAAGACCGCATCTACTTCGCATCCGCGCGACGCAACAACGAAACTCCAGGGCAGCCGATCCCAGAAGCGCGACTTTATCTCAGCATCCCAGCCTCGTTCATCGGCCTGAGTGGCGGTCTGTTCTATTTCGCATGGACGTCCTACTCTTCCATACCGTGGATCGTACCCAGTATATCGCTCGCTTTCGTGGGCTTCGGCATGTTCTGCAGTACAGCGGGAGTAACGACGTATGTGGTTGATGCGTATGCGAAGTATGCTGCTAGTGCTATCGCGGGCATTGCGTTTCTGGAGAACTTTATGGCGGCTTTCTTGCCGCTTGCGACGCAGAGTATGTATCGTACGTTGAGATTTAATTGGGCGAGTAGTTTGTTGGGCTTTATCGCGTTGGCGTTGAGTTTCATTCCGTTGATTCTGTTGAGGTTTGGGAAGAGCATACGTGGGAAGAGTCCGTTTATGAGTGAAGCGGGGTATGAAGACTGAGTACGCTCAAACTTTCAGTTGATGGGAAAGGAGAACATAGTATACAAGACATATTCTTGTATAATGAACATACTCGTGTAAGGCCTGTGATTGAAAGAGCATAAATGCCTTGGTTGTGAGATGTGTTGCAGTGGTGTGGAGCAAAAACCCACATGCGGAGGACAATTGGCGTACCAGATGAACCACATGCAACACCTTCACTTCATCGCCGGAGCCAGCGCAATCGCAGAGAACCTCAAGTCCCCCCCTTTCTCAGACTCAATCCTCATCAAACGCCCGATCCCCTTCTCCAACGCAGCCAGACTAAGCACATCCTCGTCCTCCTCCAACACCCCCCGATCAAGCGGACCCATGCGCCCGCCTTCAAGTTCCCACAAATGCCCATCTTTCGCCTTCACAAACGCCACGAAATGCTGACCGGTATGCGCCTCCTCAATCTCTGCAGGTGGGGCAGAATCTCCCAGTTCCACGGCGTCTGCGTGAGCCTTCTCGAATGCGTCGGAGTCTTCGAGCACTCTCGCGCGCTCCCAGATGGGCTTTGGTAGCGCGTCTTCGCGGATCTTGGCTAGCGTTGAAGAGGGCTGGATGTGCTGTGCAGCGTCGCTGTTGAGCAGACAGTGCACAAGGCCTATACTGCCGCAAGCGTTTCCTATGGTCTGCTTGAACCATGTGACGGGTTCGGCGTCGCCTTTACCCTCGTACTCGGTCTTGTCCTTGTCTTCTGCTTTTCGAGCCTCGTCCCAGGTTGGTGTCAGAGGTATGATGACAAGTAGTGCTACCGCTGGTCGCGGAATGAAGCTCAACATGTCGGAGTCAGTGAGTGAGTAGATGTCGTAGAAAGAGAGCGCTGTCGTGTCCAGACCGAGGTCTTGAGCCAGGTGGTTCATGACCTCTGGGTTGTTCTCAAGGACGTTCCACATCTTCTTCGGCATCTTCTGCGGAATCTCCTGAGACATTTTGAATGTAGTTGTGGTTGTTCAGAGATGTGGGGCTTGAAATGAGCTGGCTGGTGTTTAGTAGACTTCAGGTGTGGAAATGTTAGTCTTGATCAATATGCTGCTTCCTAGGCAGCGATCAGACGCGTAACAACGACATTCAGTGACAGGCAGCCATGCAGGTACGCTGCAGGTAAGTGGAAGGGACAAAGGTGGGGAAGGATCAGGCCCGCCAAATCGGGAAAGGCCCCGCGCTAACCCTGAGTTGGGCGCGGCTGGCGGGGCATCAATCAATCCCCGCGGTGGCAGCATCTCATCGAAGTTCAGACAACGCATCATCTCACAAACTTTACGTATGAAACTGCCTTGTGGATACGTGATGTCTTTCTATAGTTGAACGATGTTCTCCCGCACTCATCCATTGGCGCGGACATCCGAGCAATCTGTAGGGGATACATGTTGCATCCGCCGGCTCTCCGCAGTAGTAAAGTCCAGCGCTTACATTTGAGCCTCCTCATCCACCACACTTATTTATATATCTAACTCAGAGTCTTTGACGTATCTAAGCTCACCTTTACCTAACAAACCAGCGAACAAGATACTCAACTCTACCTCACCACTCCAGATTCTCACCTTCGAGCTCACCATGGACGACGAAGCCCGACAAGCAATGGCAAGCATGAAGATGCCACGCCGACCCATCAACTTTGTTTCCGCAAAGCAAGGCGAAATACTCAAACTAGGCCAAATCACTTGCAGAGTCATGGAAGACGGATCACGGACAGACAACCGCATAGGCTCCGCAGAGTTCACACTACCTCCCAACACACCTGGGCCACCAGCACACTGGCATGAGATGCACGACGAGACATTTCTTGTGACCAAGGGAATGGTTCGGGTACGTCTCTATCTTTCCTTTCATTCCATCCTAATCCAGCAGATAAGACAGCTAACCGTCGCCGCAGTTTCACGCACCCGACGGCGCCATACAAGATGCCTACGTCGGCGACTACGTTACCGTACCCATCCGCGCACCCCACACCTTCTCGAACCCTACAAACGAAGAGTCCAAGTTCTTCAACACGTATACCCCCGCGTTTTACATCGATTACTTCAAGACCTTGGCTGAGATAAGCAAGACGGATGAGAAGATGATGAAGGAGAAGAACATCGAGGTCATGGCGCGGTATGCGACACTGCCTGCAAAGGAGATGATGGAGGAGAAGAAGTAAAGGCTGAGAACAGCTTCTCTGGAATGATATAAGAATAATGCTAGGAATACAATCATGCGCATGCGATACGCAGGAAAAAGCTACAAACAGACGCCGGAGCTATCAATACAATGAAGAAGTCATCGCACAAACACCGCCAGGGCCAGCCCAGCGCAACATCAAATCACAGTCGTATCCCCCTCCTCATCCACTCTACAGATACTGCACTCCTGATACAACTTTGCGCAAAACTCCCTCACCGTCATGTCCGCACCCATATCCGTCCCAATAAGATGGTTCTTCATGCAATACCACACCCACTGCCCACCACTCGCCTCATCTCTCCTCAAGTAGTTCTCGCCCGGGCTCCACGTATCCAAACTGAATGTTATGCCAGTGAGCTGCGGCCCCCGCGGTACGGTGTCAGAGTACTCCGTGCCGAGCATCTTGAGCGACTGGGAAGCATGGTACCAGATCCAAAGCGGGTTCCAGAGGGGATCGCCGAGGGCTTTGGCGTCGAGAGTAAAGGTCTTGACGTTGGACATGTGTTTGAGTTGTTCGCGCATGCGGCGGCCGAGCGTCCAGGATGAGGATGTCATGGAGCGGGGGTCTGTGACGCCGAGCATGGAGGATGTGGTGACGAGCTTGAGAGAGCAATTTTGCACTTTGGAGAGCAGATCGGCGGAGATGTTCCATACTCGGTTGTCCTGTGTTGATGGCGCGGGGAATGCAGATGGAGGGGTGCTGGTGGCGGGCTTGTATGTCTGGGGCGTGACGCTGAAGTGGAAGGTCTTGCGCTTGCAGATCATGTCCATGTATTCTGAGTACACTTGCTTGTTCGCTAGGAATATCCATTTACTCTCGTGTCGCACAGGCGATGAGGTGGATGTCGATGTCCAGCGCGCGGGTCGCATCCAGTTCAGCGTTGAGCGCTGGATCTCGTTGCGCGCTGGTGGCGGGTAGATGGGGTCGTCGAGGAAATGCTCGTACACCATATCCCGCAGCTCTTGTGGTAGGTCCAGAAATCGGAACGGCTTCTTATTCTGGTATTGCATCTTGCGGTACTTTCTGAAAGCGACGATGCATAGTAGGGGAAGTAACAATGCTAGGAGGGTTATCCAACCCTTAGGCTCAACGCCAGCGATGTTGTATTCCGCAAGCCATGGCTGCCAGCGCGATAGCTCGCTCGTCTTTATCGATGTGGATGCCATGACGATGCTCGTGGTAAAGTGTGGGGTGCCGTGTAATTGAGCGTGCCTAGCACGCTAGCGGAATACGTGCGATGCGAGGAACACGATGGTGCCAGGGGGCGCTGTCCAGCTTCCCTCACACAACGGAAACAGCGCGGGACTACGGGTATCGCGCGATGCTGAAACAATAGTCCTGCCTTCGTATACGGCAGTATCCAATCGCCGAAGCGTTCTGATCGGTCAGACGACAACTCCGAAGGGTGCCGCGTTGTTTGGCCGCTCGCACAAAGGGATCCTGCGCACACGCGTGATGCAAGACTGCGCGATGAGTCGAAATGAGATGATGGGTGGAGGTGCAAACAAGGGAGGTTGTGGAGGAATGCGCGAGGGGGAGATTCGCAGCTGAGTAAGATAATCAATACTGATTGATGCCTTGCGGATACGACTTGATGAGGCAACCTGAAACGGGTCGCCTTGCGCCGCAGCTGCTAACAACGACATCGCCACTTTGACACTATCGTCAGGTGGTACCGCGTCAGACATCCATCATCTCCGTACCTGACGCACGTGTTCGATCATAGGTCGCCCATGTCAACGACGAGAACAGATGGGCTTTGTGTACGTAGAATCTCGTTGTTCTGTCAATGCCTGGCTCAATGCACATTGGAGGAAGGTGTATGCTACCTGACACGATGCAAGTCGTTCGACTAGACTTCCAGCGAGCACTTCCAGCGAGTACTTCTAGGTGTCTCTTGGTGCCATCTCGAAGATGGCTATGTCCGACGCTCGATTGGCGACTGGACGCCGGCACGCACCCTACTGTCGATCACTCCTTCCTTACCACCACTGCCACACCGATAGTCTCGAGGGAGCGAACTTCTGCAGACTGCTCGAGACGCTGCTTGAATCCCACACCATCGCCATATCCGACTGAACACACAACCTCAACTCGTTCCAGGTCTGGAAAGTCGGTCCTCGTCAGCTCTCCTAACCAGCTCGTGAGCTTTGACTTGTGGTCCCCGTCATCTGGCCCTGGAGACCTAGGGTGGGTGATGACTAGAGTTCGAATGCCACGAGGTAACAGCTGAGACGGGCTGGACCCTGCAGGTCGTTGGAAGTTGTGACTATCCACCAGGCCACACTCAGCAATATGTATCCGTCGTAGCTGTTCGAATTCACGAACTTCCAAGCGAATCGTTGTGGTGTCGCCAAAACGTACAAGCTTTGCGTACGTGAATATCAGATTCTCGACTGAACGTCCCAAACTAAGCAATGTCTGCACGATGTGTGGATCAAATGATCCTGTATTCCCTAAGACTGAACCGCCCACATCATCATCATTATCCTGAGGAAATCTGGGGTGGCCCACATCCCACACATGAGAACCCAGAGTCAATGTATGGACGTTTGGAAGAAGATCGAGAAAAGCTTCGGCTCCGCGGAATTTGTAGTCATAAGATTCGTTTGCAGCTTCGATTTTGAGCGATGTGATATTAGGGGCTTTGACGTTGGGTGGCGAGCAACGTATGTTCGCTTTAGTGCCTATGCACAGGGTATGAAGCGTAGGTAATGTAAGAATCGCCCAGTCCAGAAAACCATGAGAGAGGTAGATAGATGTAAGCTTCGAGAAGCATGGTAGACGTACAAGCTCTTGCAAGGGAGTCGGGAGTCCCTCGAAGATGTCCTCGCCGGCCAATTCGACAGAGCAGAGACAGTCGTCCAAAGCGGTGATGGTCAAAGAACGCAACTCGGTAAGACGAGCCAGGAGATCGCAAGCGAGTTTCTTCTCACACACTTTGACTACTCTCGAACGTGGCAGGAACCACAAGTCCTTCACTTTGGTAGCCAGATGAGGCTTTTGTTTGATAGTACAGAGAAATACTGCGAGACCAGACTTGGTGGGGCGGTCAAACGTAGACTTGTGTTCCCGATTGGGGTAGTCTGAACGAAGGTCGACAACGCGGTAGAGGACATCCTGCGCAGCCTCTGTGTAGCGCTTCGAGGCGCGTGCTAAGGAACACAGACCCTTATTGTCCAGACTCTCGGCCACTTGTATCAGGGTCTCGATGGCGCATCTATCGATGTGGCACTCTCCGGGTGTCGGAATGGAGGGGTCTTGCATCGCGAGTATACCGAGTGCGCTGGAGAGATCGGCGTCGGGTGTCGAGGTCACTGACAACGCGGTACCTGAGGCGGGGTTTGAGAGCGCCATGGCTGTGGCTGAGCAGACAATTTAGGGACTGGCTGTGGGAGCAGTTCGGTTATGGGGAGAGGGAAGGTGCGCTAGACGTGGCAAACGCAAGAGCATGGCCCAGAAAGGAAAGAGCGCTCGGACGCGTTGCTCATCTTCACCACAGGATGCAAGCAAGAACGACGGAGCGAGAGATGTTTAGACTTTGAGTGGGTACCGAGCGACAGAAATATGCCTAGATTGAGGTGAGATGGGTATTATTTCTATGTACAGTATGGACTGAGTTGAGTCTTATCGGTGTAGAAAAGTTATTGCTTTACCACAGTCGATTTTCCGAGTTCATTCTGAGGGGAGAGTGTAACCACGAGCCATATCCGACCGAACCCATCTTTAACGCTTCTTTATGCCGTATCGGATCTCTAGCGCATCGACTTGTCGTGAAATATCGTCCAACTCTTCCCTGGATCGAGTCAGAGCGCGAGTTTGCTCTTTAATCTCTTTGATCTCTTCTATTAACTTCTGTTGCTCTTCTAAAAGTCCCCGGCGCTGGTTGCGTATAGCCAGGATCAACAGAATGGGCATGTTCCAAGGTTGCATTTCTTTGGTGTTGAAACGTTGAGTGCTTTCTTATCAGTCAGTAATGTCCAAGATCAGAGGTCAAGTACTTACTGGTAACGTTGGTGAAGTGTAAGTTAAGGAGTGGGAAATGCTTCCTAGAAGTAGGTAGCCTTTTGGACGTATGAGCGGTAGGCGACGAAGATATCTGATACAGAGTGTGACTTTGCACAACTTTCCAGTCTCTCTTGATTGCGCTGCTGCCTACGAATTATTCAGGGTTCGTGACATGCTAACCATGGTACGCAGCCACCGGAGTTGCGATCAAGACCCTTTGCGAACCTCAAGCACGGAAACCACCACGGAAAAGTCACATCACGAAAACTCTGTGTAAATAATGCGTTCATTTCTTAAACATTAGAAACTACCAAAGTATTAGGTATTATCCTCAACAATTATTTCTTCCCCCTATTACTGTCCCGAGCCAAGGCTTAGTATCCAAGCTGACCCCTAACAGCACCAGCAACAAACTGCGCAGTGTGCGAGTCAGTGAAGAAGCCTTTGGGGTTAGCTACAATCTGCTTGACGTGGAAGCCATCAGCCTGGTCCTTCTGGGTAGTCGGGTTGATGACGCCAACGGTGAAGGGACCCTTGAGGCAGCCAACCGAAGTGCGGCGCTCATCGGGGCCGGTAGGGTTGGGGAAGGCCTGTGAGATGTGTGTTAGTAATCGTCTCAAGTATGCGGAATGCAAGAGGGAAAAGGAGGTAAACTTACAAGTCTGGGTGGTCCAGCCTTGCCCTTGACAGCCTCGTGGATGTGAGTCGCAGTGAGCGCAGGGGACTGGTAGTCTCCAGTTACACCGCTGAGGGTGATGTTGTAGCAGATGGTGTTCTCAGCGATGTTGATGCCGTATTTGAAGAGGCCCTTGGCGCCGGGCTGACCGGGTGCAGGTGCGCCGGTGTTGGCGATGACCTGGTCGGGGGTGGCCTTGACGACGTATTCGGCATCGAAGTAGAAGAGCTTCTCGTTCTTCTTCCAGCCGTTGTCCTTAGCGTTCCATTTGGCCTCCAAGTCCTTCTTACAGTCGGTCTTGTAGTCGTGCTTGCCGGCAGTGGGAGCGGCGAAGGCAAGGGGAGCGGAGATGAGAGCGAGGAGGGCCGGGGTGGTGAAATGCATGTTGGATGTTGTGTAAGTAGCGGAAGCTGTAGGATGCTGTGTGGATGTAGTGAGGAGGATGTGAGATGCTGATGATAGATAAATGAAGCTATCCTGTGCGGTCCTTTATACACATCCGGCTCTCCACTTCACCATCAGAGCTCAACTTCATTTCCCTTCTGCCCAGGTCCGATGACATCGGTGGACGACGCACGGCAAGCATGGATCGGTGGTAAAGACTCTTGGAGATGGACACTGGTGTCTTGGTGAAATCTTCAACGTAGGTTTCGCCAAGTCAACAGTATGATTTGAGATCATTTCCGCCATGGCCGAGCCCGTACATGCGATGTAAGGCGTGACCCGCGGTATGGGTAGTGGTCTTGGTATCTCCATTTTGCTGACAGGTTACCAGGCGGAAGGAGTGAACCCCGATGCGAGGGTGCCGTCTGCATGAATCTGGCCAACGAGAGTTGAGCCCATTAGAAACCTAGCATGTGTGCCCAATGAGCACAGCGCTCGAACGTGCCGTAGAAGACGCCGTCCACCGTCTTGGTAACGGAAGATCCCATACTTTTGCAAGGCGAGCTTGCATCCATCAAGCCCACGATCGCCCCCAAGATATCGCCTAGCTATCTTGGTGCGGGTAGAGTAAGATCCGTAGTCTTACCCCAGCTCCTGATCGGGCTTACTCCTTCACCAAGTCTTCCTTTTTGAGCCATGATCTACCTACCCGCGTGGCTGTGCTGACTGAAAAGGACTACGTGCCCAAGGCGCTAGCTCGCGTTGGCCTTGATGTCGACCAAACGTACTCGTAAGGCGCTATCGTTTTCCCCAGAGAATTGAAATAGACCTTCGGGTCTCGATTGATCTTGACGTTGGTGTCCGCAGCGGAGAAGTTTAGTGAACTTCTTAGGTACGCTTGGCTGCAGCGCCGTGGGTGCCCTGGAAGGATGCCACTCATCACTGAGTTGTCCGATGTGGTGAGTTAATGTTGGTCTTCATCGCAATCTGTTGTAATACCGTGTATGTCTGGTGAACTGTCAGACTTTAGTTGTGATGTTCAGGAAGAAGAAGCTCCCGGTGCTTCCAGCTGACAGGATGACATCACCAGTGGACAAATGCCAAGATCCACCCGATAGCGGCCTGATCTCCGCCTTCCTCCACACTTTCCGCGCACTACCGAGTTGTCAAGCCGGGCTCGGATCTCTAGCAGCACGACGGTTCAAACGCCCAGCCAGCGTTGTTTATGGTTTCAAGTAATCACCTCCAAGGAATCAAAAAACATGTCGGCGAGCAGTTTGTTTATGTGTCTATTTCTTGGTACTTTAGGTTCAGCTCGGGCTTGGGATGCTGGGTAACTGAGCCGAGTCATCCGCTACTCTACAAAACCGACAAGTTCGCCTGACTAACAAACCAAGTACCGTTATTAGTATCAACAGTCAGATTCGTCTGCACCGTCTTCCCTCCCTTCAAACTTCCACTCTCCACCATACCACCCGCAACAGGCCTCTGCAGCCTATTCTCTCCACTCTTGACTGTAAAGTTAGCAATGGGGATCTCCCAGCCGTTGCGCGTAACAACAGTCGGCAAGCCGAAGAAGTTGGCGGTCATCTCGTCGTGGGTAAAGTGCAGCTCAAAGTAGCCACGGTAGTAAAGGTCCTGCCACTGGAGCTCAGCGTTGGAGGACTGGATGATGGAAGAGTAGTTGTTGGCGGTTGCGAGCGTAATGTTCGCGCCGTAGGGGCAGGGGGATGTGACTGCTGAGCCGGCGAACTCGACACCGATGCTGCCGGCGCCGGTGCTGGAGTCGTAGTCCTTCTCGTCGAGCCAGATGAGGTCGCTGACCCATGAAGCGTGGCTGTCACCTGCGAGGAAGATGTTGTTGTTGATGTTGTTGCTGTACAAGTGGTTGAGCGTGCGGTTCTTGTTCGATTGGTAGCCGTCCCAGGCATCATAGTTCAGCGGGTTGTCTTCTCCATAGGCCGCGGATTGGTTGACGCGCGAGAAGACGATTTGAGATCCGACGATACGCCATGTTGTGCCACGCTCGGAAGACTCGGAAAGACTGCGGTAGAACCAGTTCTCTTGCCGGGAGCCCATCAGGGAGCGGCCAGCATCATTGGAGATGTCGTGAACGTAGTCAGTGTTCCAGTAGAGATCGGTGATGGAACGATCATATTGACGGGTGTCGAGCATCATCAAGTCAACGAGCTTTCCGATGGAGAACGAACGCCAAATGCGCAGATTGTCGTCCATGTCGACTTGACGAATGGGCATCCACTCGAAGTAAGCGCGAACAGCGTTCATCTTGCGCTGGTCGACTGAGACACCACCGTCGCGGAGGAAAGAGTCTTCAGTGTTGTTGAGCTCAGACATGCCGTCACGGTAAGTGTTGTCAGCAACCTCGTGATCGTCCCAAACAGGAATCCAAGGGAATTGCTCATGGCTAGCAATGAGATCAAGGTCGGTACGGTAAGTCGCGAGCCTCTTACGGTAGTCGTAAAGAGTGAAGATCTCACGGTCTGGCTGAGGAATGCGGCCAAGCGAGTTGCCCCAGCCGTAATCTCCATTCTTGTATTCGTAGATGTAGTCACCGAGATGAACGACGTAATCAACAGAGTCCTGGTTCCACGATTAGCTCAGTAGAAAATATGACCAGTCTTCAGCACGCACCTTGCGAACGGTGTTTCCGTAGGCGTTGAAGAAACCAAATGGGTAATTGGCACAGCTGTACACGGCAATGCTAACATCCGTGATATCGTCGTCCGCGTTTGGCGTAGTCTTTGTACGTCCAAGCGGACTCTTGTTCTCCGAGCCACACACGTTGAACTGGTAGTAATAGTTCGTGTACGGCTTCAAGTTCTTGGCCTCGACCTTGACGGTAAAGTCTACATCAGAACTCGTGAAGACCTTTCCAGAGTCGACGACTGTGGAGCAGTTTTTGTTGTCGTAGACCTTGTATTCTACGCATACTGGCGCCTTGGAAACTTGGACGTACTTCTCGTTGTCGTGGTCGAAAAGAGGTGCGTAGCCGGTGACCGTGACATTGGACTGCGAGTTGTCGCTTTGAGGAGCGACGCGGGTCCAGAGGATGACGCTGTTGGGGTATGGGTCGCCTGAAGCGACGCCATGGGTGAAGTTCAAGCTGGAGGCAGCATAGGTGCTTGCTGGGTCGTTCCTCTTGACAACCTTGTGAATTGAGACACCCAGGGCAGGGTGGTGCTCCGAAGGCGAGCGGTAGTTGATGTTCTTCGACCAGCTAGCGCTGGCGATAGATGCCAATGGCAGTAACGAAAGGTATTGAAGCTTCATATTGACAAACGGCTGCTGGAGGACGCCGATCGAACTTGCCAGCCCAAAGCTACCGGCTCTCCGGGCCTTTTTGTAGCTTTCGATAGGATTGAGCCATTTTCAAGCTTCAGGACTCCAGGCAAGCTACGCCTGGACATTTCTGCGTCTCTACTGCGTCATGCCTGCAGGAACAGAAGTTCACGGAACGCAACCCTTCAATCACAGCTCGTGGAGGGACCATGCTGCCATGTCGGTAGCGTTGACACGGGATGGTGGGATTAACGGTAGCGGGGCGAACATCGCAAGTAGGAAAGTTGAAGATGCAACCTAGTAGTTAGTCGTCATCAGCAGAAATACAGCTCTCTTGATTTGTTGCGCTCCCAGGCTATTGCCGAGATGCAGTACGGCGCGGCGCACATGTCTAGGAGCTCTGCGCCTATTGGCCACTATGAGCCGATGCGGGTAGCTTACACTAGAGTGAGAAAGGTTCAGCAATATTTCGACGGGTCGACTTGGATGAATGAAGCAGGTGCATCTGTAGATCGGAAACGATAAAAGATGGTGTCTAGGTACCGAGGTAACGTTTCGATAAGTGATGGGTGGGATTTGGAAGCGGTGTCGAAGGTCGGAGTAGAAAGCTCCGCGAGTTTTCGTTTCGGAGCAGGCAGTCAACGTGCTCCGAAGTAACACCGCGCCTTGCTCCCAAAATCCCATGCCTGTGCAGACAATCCCTACGACAAGGAAGAGACGCTGTGAGTTGCGATACTTCTCATTCGATGCCATCCTTTCGCGTACAAGGCTTATGAGTTGCGGAAGGTGTTGTCGGCTCGCCGATAGCTGCATGACAGCATTTTTCTCTGTTACCTAGGTATTCTTCGTCTACCGGAGCTTACTCGCATCTGGGTCATCGCAGTACCACAGACGAAGAAGAGAATCCACCTCTGCCTTAGACTGCTCACTGTTCTCGTCGCCTTCTACACAAACAGTTTATAAACCCAATACCCCACATAAACCACCACCCCAACAACCCCCCTCCCCCACCCCGGCACCTGCTCCTCCGCCTGCCAAAGCACCCACGTCTCAATACTCGTCCTCGGCGCGCCAGGCGTGAACAACATCGCATTCTTCGCGCCCTCGGTACGCCGCTGCGCAGCATGCGCATGCCTAAACAACGCCTTCTCATACCCCTCTACATACCGTCCCAGCGCCTCCACCTGACTAACACCCTCGCCGGCGGCGGAGCTAGATGAACTGTACGCAACGATCTGCTCAGTAAGAACCATGGCATCGTAAAACGCGGTATTGACACCGATTCCCGCAAACGGGGTCATGACGTGTGCTGCGTCGCCTAGGAGCGTGATGCCGGGTCTGTGTGGCCAGGTGAAGCCTACGGGGAGTTGGTAGAGGTTTCTCCACACGAGTCCTGTTGTCGCTTTTTCGACAGCATCGAGGAGCTGAGGTGCCCAATCGTGCAGCTGCTTTCTCAACACTGCTTTCGCTGCTTCGACGTCGTTTTGCGCGTCGAAACCGCATGTTTGGGCAAAATCCTCGGGGTGCTGGCCGTAGTAGGCGACGTAGATGGAGGAGTCGGAGAGTTGTTGTATGGACAGTGACTTTCCGTCGGAGTAGGCGAAGACGCTGCCTCTGTTGACGAAATTGTGTAGGTCTGGTGCGGCGGTTGAGGCGGAGGGTATGTACATTGTCCAGCCGCCTAGGCCGGCGTAGTACGGCTTCTCCGACGTCAAGAGGTTGCGTGTCTTGCTGAAAGCGCCGTCGCAGCCTACGATTAAGTCGAAGCCGTCCAGCACCTCGCCGTTCGCGAAACACAGACTTAGTCCTGAACTGCCTTCTTCGACGCGCGAGAGCTTGTAGCCCCAGCGAACGGTGTCATGAGGTAAGCTCTCCATGAGCACTCTCCTCAGATCTGCGCGATCGATTTCTGGTGCGTCTCCTGGGCTCAGCTTCCCGTCTGCTGTCTTTCGTCCGCCTCTTCTCAACCATGTCGTGAGGTTTTTATCGGTGACGAGCAGACTCTCGCCGTCGTAGCGAGCGTACTTTTGGAACTCGTCCCACAGGCCTGCTAGTTTTATTGCAGCGAGACCTGTGTTGGCGCGCAAGTCCAAGGTGCCGCCTTGCGAACGGTAATTGATGGAGGCTTCTGCTTCGAAGATGGTGGTGCTGCAGTCACATTGGGTGAGTAACAGGCGTGCGAGCATGCAGCCGCCGGGGCCTGCGCCAACGATTGCGATTTTTGGTGCCATGATTTTGTTACTCTTTGATGTAGTATTGCAGGACGAGGTCGACGATCAGCGCTGGTATGGTTCTTTTATCTCCACCTGCAGCTTGGCTGAGGAGCTTCTTAAGGCTTGTTGAAGCTTACCTGTCAGGCCTCCAGTGACGCTGTCGCATTGCGCACCGGGTTAGGTTAGACGATGCTAACGGTGGCTGCCTTGTGTAACGTGGAGCAGGAACGTCGGTTCTCAGAAGCGAGACGAGGAAGAGCGGCCTGCGATACCATCCTCCAAGTCGAGCAAGAAGTGTAGATACCACAATAGAACGCAAGAAGCCAGAGCAATGTTTTGATCATTGTATGCACAGTGCGCGAGAGAAGTATGTGCAGAGTAAGACGTAAGTATATACAAGAAGAGGTGCCTATGTGCATCCACACGGTTTCCAATAAACCAAGAGCGGGATGCATCTAGCTCATGCTCAAGCTGTACTCAGTAACAGAGAGTTTTGCCTTGTTACCAGAGAAAGGCTCCGTTCCAGCTCCAACACTTGTCAAGATCTGGCTGCTGGGCATACCATGCTTGCCAGTAACCTCCTTGACAAACTCCATCAAATCGCCATTGAAGCTGTTGATCTGCTTCTCGGCAACAAAGCTGAACACATTCATCTGGCCATTCTTGCCGTTGTACAACTTCCAGCTGTTGCCAGCCAGAGTGACGGTAGCAATGGGGCTGCCGGTGGCGGAAATGGGACCAGCGCCTCCAAGAGCACCGACCCAGATCATGATTTCGTACTCGGGGTCACCGCCAGCTTTGGAGGAGGTGAATAGGTCGTAGGAGACGTTTGCGATGAGGTCGTCGCCGGCGTAGGACCATTTCCAGACCGAAGGGAGGGATTTGATGGATGAGAGTGCCTTCTGGGTGATTTTTGTGACGACGTTGGCGTAGGACTTGACGTGTCCGGGGCTGGAGGAGATGTTAGTATGAGTTTGATGTCAAAGAGAAAGAAGTACATACCCGCCAGCCCAGGACCATGAAGTGTGCCACTTGAGGGTCCTGCCACTGAGACCATCAACGCCGGTGCATTGGGAACCGCCAGGTGTGGCGTCGGCTTGGCCCCAGAGGTTGTTGTAGACGGTGTAGTCACCAGTCACGGCGCTGTCCCATTGGCCGCAGTAGTCTGCACGCTTCTGGATGGTAGCGGTGGGGACGGCGAGGGCGAGAGATGCCGTGCTGGCGATGAGGAGTGCGCTGAACTTCATACTGACAGATGGTAGTAATAGTAGAAAGGAGTGCAGTAGTTTATTTGTTATCTGGGCTGCGTTTTGTAGACTTGGGGAAGATGTAGATTGGCTTTAAGTATAACGTCAGACATCGTACGAGCTAGGAACTAGAAAGAGGAGAACGTGCTCACGGAGTATCTGTGTTCGTAGTCGACTCCGTTGTTTCGAAGGAATGAACATGTCAAGCAAGCTATTCCCGAAACAGACACTACTCCTCTCAAGGGTGTCCCATGGTCAGGCCGTAGACTTGTCGATCATCCGAGAAAGGTGGGAGGGCCACTTGGCACATTGGTGGATTTGGCTGGTAGTTTAGTATTGATGGAGCTGACGGAAGAACCTCAGAAGCTGATCAGCAGCCAGTTCTCCAAAGACGATGTTCTTCGTGATGTGCATCGATTCTGCGATGCGTCGGGAATGCTCCGCGCGCCTGGATCCCTGTCCGTCAAGTCAAGCTTCCCCACAAGTCATTCCGTGCGCCTGAAACATTTCGCCGATGCTTGATGAGGGCAATATAACATCGGTGGGACTAAGGAATAGGGCTATGGTAATTTTCCGACGCTCATGCGGGTCTAGACATGACCTCAGCTTCATGTCTTCTAATCATTTCGGACGAACGATTCTTCGACTACGAGCGATCTGAGAAATTCCAGGTCGGCTTCATTGCCGGTATCGCAGAAGGACTTCATCGTCGGCTGGAACTGTAAGCGACGAATAAACGGGTCTGGCTCGAAAGCGACTCACGGTGGCCATATCACCCTTCCTGTTGACGTTCCAAGTATTGCCTGATTGACGAGTCTCGTGCTGACTGTAGAAGGGCTCCGGCTCCCATGTCTTCCAGAAGCCAATTAGCTTTCTAGTAACTTTCATGACTGTCTCTCCTACTGCAGGAGTAACGGGTGCATCCAGCCAGGGCTGAACATTTTCCCACTTCTTGTCTGGCAAGTCCCACCTACCACCGTCGGATGCCTGCATGAGAACATCCACATGAAGTTCCTCGACATGAGGGAAGTACTGAAGGATCCGGCTGATGGCAACTGAGGCAGCATTGGGCTTCGCTGCCTCACCAGGGTTGACGCGAGCATTCCCGCGTTTATCGATGAACACCTGCGGACCACCATTCCACCAGTCGTATCCGGGCCAGATAGTCAGCCTAAGCTTTTTAGTCCTGCAAATGATTGGAAGTAGTGCGAGGAAACGAGGCGACATCTCTTCGCGCGTGGGGACGTAGTAACCGTGAGCCCCGCGTAGCTGGCGCTGTATCTCCACTGTAATACGCAGAGCGTCGTCGTCGCAGGCACGCTCTGCTTCTTCGGCACGTTCGGTTCCAAGCCTCTCAGCCACGACCCAACTCAAGGGCTGCTCCTGCGAGTCTGGCGTTGTTGGAGTGACCCTTGACAGCAGAAGACGGTGTTCTAGACACTCTTCTCGTAGCTGCCGACACGTTGCTAGGACGTTTGGAGGTGGACGGGAAGGGAGATAGATGCGTGTATCGACATATGTATCCAAGGGTATTTGACGCGATCTGTACAAATGCTGGGTGTCCTTTATCGAAGTCGATGTGTAGACGTACTGCGGTAGGATCAGGTAGCCAAGAATCTCGTCGCGCAACTCGCGCGGCAGGGCGAGAAGTGGTGAATCATTATTTGAAGATGCCATAGTTTCAACAGATTGCGAATTGACGCTGGGCATTGGTAGTTGAGAACGTGAGGGTCGTATGTCTCGCTGGGCAGGCGGTTTATGCTGCAGCCTTGCGGAGCGGATTTCCGCGCTCCGCACGTGGTCTGTGAGGGTGGCAATGGCACGCCTGAACAGAGCAGAGTCCAGTTCCTCTTCTTTCTTACTAATAATTGTCTAGTCTTCTCAGGCACAGAGTCTCCTGATGGGATAATTGGCATTGCCAGATAGATCTCGGGGCGTGCGCATCTATCGACGCCCATTGAGGCACAGGGCAGGAGCGGAAGACAGGGTTATTCACAGTGAACAGCACGGCGCGATGCTGAAAAGAGCTGTGCACGGTAAAGATGCTATAGCATTAGGAGTACTGAGAGAGGATCTTGCTGCCAGGGGTAATGTCGGCCGTGGCGCAAATGCGGAGACCTGGGGATGGTTCGCAGAGCGGGATGACATCGTGCATGGGCTCGGCGGGGCGCGTTTGCGGCTCCAGCACAAACAACTTCTTGGGCCTGGGCTTGTGAATGAAGCATGCAACACCACCGCATGCCGCCGTGCCGAACCTCACTCTCATCGCGACATGCACACTGATCTCTTTGTGTCATCTCACTAGTAGACACTTAGGTACAGAAATATCCGCCGGTTCCCAACGGCCTGCCGTCGCGGCTCCATGGGCGCAGTGCTGTATTACCGCTGTACCGCGTGCCCTTCGGAAGCTATCTGGAGTCCCGAGACGTCGTAGATCGGCCAAGGAGCGGTCTGGCTCAGTCACGAGACCATGGCGAACAACGAAGGAAGGCGCAGCATAACCCAAAGGCTGACGCCATGGTGGGCATTGCGCTCGAACGAAGCCGCGCCCCAGGATACGGAAGGTGAGAGTAGCGGAACCCAAACAAACGCTCCTGCCCAGGTACGGCAAACCTCATACGCACTTTCCGCCGTTACGGCACGCCGCACGTGCATGCCGACAGCAACATCTGCTTTTGGCAGGCATGAGGCCATCATTACCCCTTCGCTCCTGCCATATGCTGACGTGCAACAGCCCGCGACCCTCTTTGCTAGCCCTACGCCCTCCCCACGTCCCGAAGCCGCGAACAACCCGCCCAACATATATCAGCCTCTCATTCATCAATACTTCGCAAACCCAGGAGCGATATCTCACCGAGGCTCCTCGTCACGCGGCCGCCCATACAGATACCGCCTCGACCCACGTGGACGGCGAAGGCATCCTCCTTTCGCTCACTCGCTGTACAACCCGACACCTCAAGCACCAGAAGGTGAAGGCGAAGGCGGAGGCTCAATGTCAGAAGATCCGTACGACCACGAGCTTGCGATTGCCTTGCACTTGGACCTGTTGGAAGACGCCGAGAGGTTTGGAGACGAGGACTTGGGCGATTCGGGCATATACGATCACAGTGAAAGTGATTCCGGTACCCACTCCCGGCGCGTTCACTTCACCGACGGCGACTGGGACGACGAAGCAGACCGAATTCCAGTTGGTGCACCAGCTCCCTTTGGAGGCCCCTCGTCACCCGCGAACAATCTCCATCGTCCCTTCAACTACTCACATCACCACATCATGCCCGGCCCTTCGAAGCGCTCGCGCGATAGCTATGAGGGCCCAGATGAAAAGGCCATCGCACACGTCCTGAACTTCAGGGGTGCCATCAGTGCCATGCTATACAACAGCATCAGCCCCAACCCTCAAGCGAACGATATTTGGCCCGAATGCCGCAGTTCCACAAAACTACCCGCCAAGTACTATCTGCTCGACAAGAGCAAACTGCTCGCATCTGACCAGGATCCAAAGCATCCCCCCTCCAAGAAAAGTGGAAAGAAAGCAGTAAAGACTGCAAGGAATGAGGAGTCGCGTGACACTCTTCCTAGTCCTTCGGTTGGGCGCCCGAAATGGAAGCTGCCGGTTGAGCTTGTAGAGATGATTGCGGAACACCTCAACCGCGACGACATAAAATCACTACGTCTTGTAAGCCGCGAGATGAACAAATCGGTCTCGCAGGTCATCTTCCGGACAGTGGTTGTTCCCTTCAATACCGAGATCTACGGCATGCTAGCACAAGAGCACAAGCCTGACTTCAAGGGCAAAAAGCGCGCACGAATCGAGCAACCCAGCTACTTATGGAAGAACGCAAACGGCGATGAAGTGTACAACGGCCATGGCCTCGACGTCTTCCGCGGCTTCGGTACACACATTAGGAAGTTTGGCATGAGCTTTGAAGTCAACGAAGAATCGCTTTCCATGCCGCCCGTCAAGTCACTGACGGAGAAAAAGACAAGCTTTTGGGGTAACTACGACTGGCCACATGAAGAGTATCGTCGCTTCGATACTGTCGCTGGACTCGAGAATGCCGCTGATGAAACACCGCGGATGAAAACAGCATTTTCCGAGCTTAAAAGTGTCAGGGAACTGGCGCTTTCCATTGATAGCGGTCTAGGATGGCTGAACGGACCGGACAGATCTATTCGAGCACGTGTCTTGCAAAAGCCATCTCGCGTCTTTGGCACTGCCAAAGCCATCCCAGATCGTAGAGCCCAGGCCCAACAGGAACTCTGGAATCACATTGAAGCATGCCACCAGAACGCTGGTAGCGATGTTAGACTGGCCACACTATACAGGATGGATGGTCAACTTCCTCTTTCCGAGCTGAAGGATGCCAACAATCTTGCAGATGAGCAACCACAGATGCCCTACTTGGATCCTCAGCTTCTCCATGCTGCTACTCCTTATGAACCCGGCGATCTCCCTGTTCCTAATAGCTTCGAAGACCCGTATGTTCTGGAGCGCTTTGTGTCAACCCCACCACCTTCAGGTACAGGTATTCTGTTCTCATCGAGTAAAATGCCATCGGAAGGAGCGCACCTTGTGAACCCTGTAATACCCGCCAAACTCACCAAAGCGCAGAAAGAATGGCTATTGGAGACTGAGTGGGCCCAACGAGCGTTCATGTCTTCGTACATGCTCTCTATCATCGACAACCCGACCACGTTCCAATACGTACACACGCTGAACATTTCCGGGCTCTCCGATCGTTACCTTCCAATGCTAAATCGTTCGGATTTCTGGGACGCACTACCAGAACTCTACAACGTTACCATCATGGTGATCCCATGCTGGCGAACTGTGCAAAAGGACGAGACCGGCTTCGTTGACGCGCCAAAGATTAGCCCCACGCAAAGCCATGGTATACTATTCGACCTACTCCGCCATCATGTTGCTGGTCGAGCGAACATCCGTCATCTGAAAGTCGGCTTTGTCACTGGAGGCGAACATGCTGAGGGACTATACGCGAGGAACAAACTGCTATTTCCTGCTCCCGTAATGGATATACGAGGTCGTTCAGAGAATCCTCCTTCTATCCATCCTACGGTGCTGGTCGCGACTGATGTAGCTCTTGTGCAGGCAGGTTTGCTTCAGTTCCCTCATGTAGAACAACTCGTGCTTAACAACTGCTGGATTACGCCACCAGCTTTGCGCGAATTCGTCAAGATGCACGATCGGTACAAGCTGCAGACTTTGGTATTGGATTCGGTGTCACTTACGGGCGTGCTGCGTCCTAACGCCAACCCACACCCGCAACCAGCGGCATTTCACAATATAATGCCGCCTCATCTTCCGGTAGGTGCACTATTTGGCGCTGTCGGTGCCCAAGGTCCACAATTAGTGCCAAATCAGCAGCAGTTCCTTCAGGCTTATATCCAGACGCTTCAAACGCAACTTCAACACCTACAGGCCCACGCTGGAGGTTTTCAAAACAACAATATAGCGGCCTTACATAACCAACTGCAACAGCAGATCGGACAGGTGCCCAACAACCCAGGACAACAGCCACATAATCAAGCTCAACCTCAAGGTCAAGGACAAGCACCAGCTCAAGTTCAACCTCAAGGCCAACCCCAAGCTCCTGTGCAGCCACAGGCGCAGCCGAACCAGCAGGTTCAGGTAATCGCTCAACAGCATATCAATTTCGCCACTGTGGCCCAGCTCGCTCAACAGGTCCATCAATTGCAAACGCAGTTAATTCTAGGGCAGCAGCCTCAACCTCTTCCTGCGTTAGCAAACAATCCAGCTCCAGGTGACGCCCAGTCTGTACTCAAGGCACAGCCCCGCGAAGGCTCTTGGATGGATATCATTGATCAAATATCACCCGGCACCAACCTCTCCGACTTCGGATCTGAGCATTCCAAGGCCGACGGCGAGCGCACTACCTCACTGCGAACAATCGAGTTTGTTTCATGCGGTTATGCTAAGCTGTCCAGCTCATCCTTTGATCAATCTGATGTCGATCCTCTTGGCATGGCTGCTCACTGGCGCAACCAGATGCTTAGCAAGCGTATTGTCGCTCTTGCGCCTGCTATGCTGAGCGCCAAGTGGAGCCACCTAGGTGACATTGTGCAAGACATCGATCCTTCTGAGCTGGCTGCACTGGATGCGGCCTGGGACCTGAGAACCGGCTGGGAAGATGCCGAAGCAGCTCGCGCCGCTGAATTTGATGGCATGCTTGCTGGTGGTACAGGGCGTTTTACAGGCATCATACGGCATTCGGATAGGGTGGCTGACGAGGCTTCTGCGAGTTAGTGGAATGCTTTTGGTCGCTCTGATCTCATTGCGTGTATGCTGACATGACATATAGATGTTTCTGAACTTTCGTCCCGGTTTCAGCGGCTTGGTATGTGATGGGAGTACTGATGAAGATGTAAGATACTACCGGCGGGGTGTTTGTCTGGTGTCTAGAATCTACTGTCAGTGGACTAGGCCACTTGTTCGAATGTGTTTACCAGTGATATGAGTCTTGCACAGCAAGTGTCAGCCGTGCGACGAGAATTTGTCTTGATTAGACAGGGCGCTGTGTACAGCGGCTTTAGTTGACCATGTACAGTAAAGGGTATACATGTAAATACCAATTTCAATTCATGGTTAACTGCTCTCTGTGTGCACTAGTAAGCGGGGTTAGAATAGCTTCACATCTCTCTCGGCACTGAAGTGAATTGCGTGTTGCGCTAAAAAATGTAGGCTTTTGTATGCTTTGGTGAAAGTGTTCAAAGAAGTCTACATTAACGCTCTGCCATGTGTTCCCAAGTCTATCACCCAACTGAAACACCATAGTGGCTCTTCCCTTTTCTCCAACCCGTAAGGTCACAATTACACCTTGCCCAACACACCCTCAATACATCAACAACCATGTCATTCCAAATTCACATCATCGCGGACATCAAACCCACACAAACCGGACCGGATCCACGTCCTACCACCGAGTCCTGGGAGCAATACATGGCGCGTTTAGGTCTTCCATCCAACGCGAAACCCCTCGATTTTCCGGATGAGGCGGCGAAGTATGATACTAGTGTGACTGTTGCGGAGGACTATGCGGCGCATTTGAAGGCTCGGAGGGAGATGTTGAGGGAGAGGGCGGCGAGGGCGAGGGAGAGGGCGGTGAGGGAGAAGGAGAAGGAGGAGGAAAGGGAAAGGCTGGAGGCTGAGGCGGAAGAAGCGAGGGTGCGGAGGTATGAGGAGGAGGAGGAAGAACAGGAAGAAGGGGATGCTGAGCACACGGGTAAAGAGAGTGGTACTATTGTCGCGGATGAGGAACGTAATGAAGTGTCAAAGCGACGGAATGTCTTTGGTAGGCTGAAGTCGTATCTTGGACGGAGGGTATTTGGGAAATGTAGGAAGGGAGCTTGAGCACCTAAGTCACTAGATGAGACACTTTCGATATGTCGCAGGATCAATGGACAAGCTGTTGTACTTAACATGTCTTATCATTTGGTCTGTGTGCCGAACACATACTAAAGACTAACATTCTTTGTAAAGTAAGACATCGTCGAAGCTCTGCACTTGCGCGAAATGCTGTATTTATAACGTATGCTCCATCATCACAGCAACACCACCACCATCACATCCACCATCACCATCCTTCCTTTCCCTGACCAAACCCCCAACACACCAACTCCACCATGTCATCCTCCTCCCTATCCTCCTTCCCCCTAGCCTTATTCACCACAGATCTCCTCTCCCACCTCGCCACCCTCACCAACAGCGCCCTCGACGGCATCGCCGCCGCAATATTCACCTACTACACCCACCGCGCCGATACAGAAGTACCAGATCTCACCAGAACCATCTCTTCACTCCAGGCAAAGGACCTAGAACTCCGCCACCAACTCCTACGACACCAAATCCAAACCGGGCAAACCATCTCTGAGCTGAGGGCTGAGAAAATGGAGTTGAGTCAACAGGTTCAGCTGCTACAGACGCAGCTCCAAACACAAGATTGGACAAGGATTTCGGAGCTGAGAGAAGAAATGGAAACGTTGCGGGGGAAACTGAGGGAACGCGATGGGAAGATTGTGGGGCTGGAGGAGAAGTATAAGGAACTCCAGAAACGCGATATGCAGATTGTGGGTCTAGAGGAGAAATATAACCGGCTTGAGAGAGAACGGCGCGGAAGGGTTTGGGGTGTGGTACGCAGCGGGCTGTGTGCGGGGATGTAGAGGGAGGAAGTATGTCATCTAAGGGAGATCTCATAGCTAGCTGGAGTGGAAGTCAGGGAATGGCATCTCGATGTATCTAGTCTATCTCTATCCCTACATACAAAAGTCTTTCGTCTATAGCCGCGTGATTCTCCTGTGCTTCATCCACGACATCAATCCCACATGCCCCTACTCATAACCCGCGGGTTCAACCTTAACCGGAAAAGCCGGCTCATCCAACCTTGTCGCACAAGCCGCCTTCCAATTCTTCGGCGTATACCTATCCACAATAGCCTTGAACGCGTCCAGCGTGCAGAAACTCGTATCGCCGTCTAGATGCTTGCCTGGTGCCTTGCAACCAGGTATCTCCATGACTTTGTCGTTGTACCGGAGACGGACGTAGTAGTCTTTTAGTTGGTCGCGCTGTGCGGTGGTGAGATCGGTGATGGGTTTGCGGGCTATGCCTTCGGGGGTGAGGCTGGTGTCGGAAGTGGTTTTTGTGCTGCCGAAGAGCGTGGACCACCAGCTTTGGCTTTTGAGAGCGGGTTTTTGCTCTGTGGGGGCGACGGGAGGGTTTGTGATGGAGGTGGGGTTTCGCTTGCGGAACATTTCGACGGCGATGTGAGAGGTGAATGGGGGCCATTTCTCGCTGTTGAAGGCACCGAGCGATGTGAGTACGCCGGCTAGGGTAGTATCGTGGCATCCTGACATGGCGAAGCGGATGTTGGTTTCGCCGCCTCGTCCTTGGCCTAGTTTTCCGTCTACGCCACCGACTTCGACGATGCCGGAGTTGCCGTTGCGCTCGACGCTGCCGACCATTCGGGAGGTGATGTCGCCCATTAGGCCGCCGATGCCGAGCATACGGTACTCGGAGGACTCGGTGTAGCCCGCGTACCATTCCTCGACCGCGATCTTATCGATGATGGCACGGGCTTTGGGGTCGTAGAACTCTTTTGGCAGCTTGGTTTCTGGGCCGTGTGCGTCGGTGGCGTTGAGGGTATCCATGATACCAGAAAGCCTAGGGTGAGAGTCTACGGCTACCTTTTGCTCTCCTGGCATCCATTTCGAAAGCACCTTGGTGAGGTAGCGCATGTCATCGGTGTCGTTCCAACGCTCAGCTGCACGTTGCGCGAATGCTCGGCTCAATTGAGCGAAACGTCTACAGCTTGCATCGTTGGGGAAGAGAGTTTCATCTGCCGGGGTTCGGGTGATGATTGTTGGTGGGGGGAAGTCTGCAGTTCGTGCGGATGGAGGGTAGAAGCCCCAGAAAGCTTGTTGAAGAGACTCTAGAGCGCGTGGAATAGGCGTTGCGCGTAGATAGATCATGTCACTATCGGATATGAGCTCCGGCATGAACTTGAGCTGGTTGACGTAGAGATGGCGGAGGCGCTCTCCTAGGGCTAGAGTTGTTTCACGGCCCTTGTCTGTGAGTTCACCGGGCTGACATATGGCATCGAATTCGCCTTTAGGTCCTGATGCAATGACTGGTTGTTGTTAGTGGCCGTCCAGAGTAAACGAGCGGATATGGTACCGGGCCCATCATCCATGCCAAAAGTCTCGAGACGACGGCGATATTTCAGCTGATCCCATTTCGAAAAGTCCTTGGTGTTCAGTATTATACTGGTAAGTTGTCGGGCGGAGTTGCAGTAGGGCCAATCTTGTCGAGTCAGAAACCTCTCGGTCAGCTCGTGAGAGATATCTTACAAGGTGGCAGTCCAGTCTGATGATGTTAGCAATGGCATTGTAGTGCACGGACTAGGATGCCTACATTTTGGAAGCGCGGAGATACAGGGCTTCTTTCGCCTATGTGTAGACGTCAGTACATGAGCTTACTAACATGTGGGTGAGACATCGCTGTTACCCACCATGGCGAAGTAACTGGTATTTTAGTTAGTGGTGGTACAAGGAGAAGCTATGACATTGGTGCTCACAATCTGTACGAGCTGCAACTCAAGCTCTTTCGGATAAAGCTTATCGAGCTCGTCCTGCGAATAGAACTGCCGTGGGATCAGGGTCGTCATCGTATGTTTTATCAATCACACTGCGGCTCGGAGATGAAAATAGATCTATAATTATAGCTCTTCCGCTATGCAGAGCATGAACAATGAGGTTGAGGTGGCCTGGAAGGTTTCTGGAGAAAGCCCGCAGTCACGTGAAGCGTGTGGACGTCATGGCGTCTCATTGGCCGGAGGTATTCCGCACAGCATCGCGGCACCTTCACGCGATTTGTGGCTGCACGCATTTCTGTACAACAATCCACGCGGGACGGTATACTGGACTTAAGGGCGTTCTTTGATCCGACAGTACCGCGCAAATGAGGGCTTGAAAAGCGATTGTAGGTGTGCAAACTCATACGCCAAAAAGTTTCGATCTCACCAGCTAACCATCATCCCAGCGTTCACACCCCTCCACTCCCCTCACGCTCGCCACAGCATTATGCTAAACGCATACGTATGTCGACAGTGCCGGACACGCCTTGCCCGACGAATTGCCCCCGTCCGAAGCCCTCAATGGCAACCTAGGGCTACGATCGTTTCGCTGGCCGGCCGAAAGCCACACGATGCCGCCGAACCACCAAACGAAGAAGCATCTGCGCAAAATAGAGATGAGGAAGACGGCACACAGGAAACGAACCGCAACGGGCCAAATATACGATTTACGAGCGCACGCGACGGGCAACCACCCCACAGCCAACAACCACTTGGCCGATACTCCAGACTCATCTACAACGAAACGAATCAGGGCTCAACGTATGGTGGTGGTGAAGAGGAACCTGCATACGTCGATGCAGTACAGAACGGCTCGTCGGGAATGGGCAAAGCTTTTGCTGATCCAGTGCTCGACGCTCTCCGCTACGGCAAGATCAATGGAGCCTGGAAAGCGTTTGAGCGCATCTATACTTCACGCGACTGCAAAGCCTTGACGGAGCCAACAGATCGCGATGCGCAGCTACTAAGTGAAGACCGGGTATTTGCGAAACTCCTCAGAGCTGTCTCGAGTACCTTTTGCGCAGCCAGCCCGGGTTTGAAGGTTACACCAACTGCAGTACTTCTCAAATATGCGCAGCTTGGCATTGCTCGAAAAGAGTACTGGGTCAGACCAACGATAGGTTATTTAACGTATGAAATCATACGTGCTGTGAACTCGCCTTCTGGATCGGCAAGAGACATCCCTTCACTAGTCACAGAGCTACTGTCTGTATGGCGACTCTTCTTTCAATGCATGGGGCCAGGAAGCGGTACAGTAGAGTCTGTCAGCACTGAATGGCACTTACCACCTGTCGACACAATTCCGGATATGCTTGATCAGAGACAGTTTAACATGCGCTTGCAAGGCTACATTCCCAACTATGTCGCTAGTCCTGCCTTGGCTTTTTGTGCTGTTTATTTTTACAGTATTTCGGACGCACTGGATCCAAAGACACAAAAGGAAGCCGCTCCCTTTCTAGCCTTCCTTAGACAACTACTTGCCGGTTCGTTTGTAAACTCGGTATTGAAACACACAGAAACCCCGGACTTTAAGAACCTACCAGAAGATCTCCAGGTCACGATTATGGAGGAGATCAATGACGCTCCACGAAAAGCCCTAGTAGCTCTTGGAAAAGCCGGCGAGACCCTTGGTCCAGATAATACAGGCGACGAATTCTCCAACTTGGAATCATTCTACATGACCAGGATAGCGCGTGCTGTGTCAAGCAAAAGCTCGGCAGCCACGCTGGACAGCATGTGGCGAGAGACCGAGAAAACATACGCCACGCAAGACAAGACTATACCCCCCGCTATATACAACGCCTTTCTTTCTGGGTACATGACTGTTCTCAGCCCACAGCGCTCCGTCGAGGTCTGGAACCACATGATCGCCCACAAGGTTGAGCCAAATATGCACTCCTGGGTTGCACTTTTGGAAGGGTGCGCAAAGGCGAGGGATCTTGATGGCCTCAACGCAATGTGGCAGCGCATGCTGAGAACTGGTCTAGAGCCAAGCAACTATGCTTGGACGGCCCGTATCAACGGCTTGATGTCCCTGAAACAGGTCAACGAAGCCTTTGTCGCTCTGGACGATATGGGCAAACGCTGGGTTGCAGCCGAGCACGCTCTCGCCAACTCTCAGAAGCAGACCAAAGGACAAAAGGGGCCCAAAAAGGTCCAATCTTCCAGCAAAGCAGTGAACCCATGCACAAAGCCTTCTATCGAGGTCATCAACGGCGCCATATCCGCCATTGTACAAAACCGCAGCGAAAAGATGTACCACCAGAAGAAAGTAGAGTTAGTACAGAAACTACTCACCTGGTCGAGGAACTTCCAAATCAAGCCCGACGCCATCACATACAACTCTCTCGTACAGCTCTACCTTCGAGCAAATGACAGGAGCACCGCCTTCAAGATCCTCGCACAGATGGAAAAAGACGGACTGGAAGGCGACGCAGCCACACACACGATGCTCATCAGCGCCGCCTTCGACAACCAAGTCTTCGACAACCTAACCCCAACCCAACAAACCGAACGCATACTAAAAATCCTAAACGACCTCGAAGCCAACGGCCTCAAAATGAACGACTACATCTACGCCACAGCCATCGACCGTCTCCTGAAGAAATACTCAAATTTCCACGCCATGCGCGCCGTCATGGAGCACATGACGTCGCGGAAGTTTGTCCCCAGTGTACATGTCTACACGTCGCTTATAACACACTACTTCCAATCCGACCCGCCCAACATCGCCGGCGTCGACGACATCGTCCTCCGCCTCTTCAGCGCTCCGCGCATGCCCAGTGACCGCGTCCTCTTCGACCGTCTACTCGAGGGCTATGCGTCCTTTGGCGAGGTGGGCAAGATGATGAGCGTGCTCACGCGCATGAGCAAAAAACAGAATCTGCCTGGTTGGGGCGCCATGGCCGCTGTTGTGCGTGCGTTGGCGCAAGATGGCGATTACGAGCGTGCGCGCGCGATTGTGAGGGATGTGGCGCGTGGTGAGGGTGTGGCGCGAGGGGGTATCATGGGGGATCGGAAGGGAGAGGCGTTTTTCGTAAGGACGATTCGCGAGTTGGGGTTGGCGGGGGTGATGGATGGAGGGGAGTATATGGGGGGTGAGGGGAGGGGTGTGGGGGATTTTGAGGGGGGTATGATGGGCCAGCAGGAGTACCAGCAGTCGACTGCGCAGTTTGAACAGGTTGGGAGCGCGCAGCATGGTCAGCAGCAGTATCAGCAGCCGCCGGTCATGGAGTATAGTCACGATGGCACGACCACTGGACTTGAGCGCGAGCCTGGGAGCGTGGATGAGGAGGATGTTCATGACTTCCTTAAGGACGAGCCTGAGCAGGGTGAGAAGAGGATGTAGAAAGCCTCGGATGCTATGTATAATGATGTATCAATGACACTTTGCCGACAACTATCCTCTTCTCTTTTGGTCGAGGTGGTAATGACCCGGCACCAATATGTTCTCTGAAGAACACGAACTACAGCTTGCTATACGCTACGTCGTTGAATCGACTTCAGTCATCCGCCACTCATGGCATCGGTTGGCGACTACGCCTACTGTACCAGTCCACAGTCCAAGCTAATCCAAACCCCCCAGACTCGCATGATTCAAGAGAGCGATTAGGTTTACAAGTGAGGCCTCTTATAGTAGATAACTATCACTGTCCACGATAGCGCCTCATACGAAACGCGTTTTTTCATGTCCTCACGACGCTCGCCTGCAGCCCAGCCCAGCTCCAACATCGTCTGTCCCTGAAACGCGTAAAGTGCAACAAGCTCACCCAAGACCAGCGATCATGGGGAAACCAAGTGAGGCTTGCACGGAGCTGTGAGTTGTCAAAACCCACGGCACGGCAAGAGCATCGACCGCCAGTTCAAAGACGACACGAGACGCGCGTCGCGTCAAAGCCGTCTCGAAGGCCTTTCACATTTCACATCTAGTAGGGAGTAGCAGCGCTTCCAGTGATGGGAAAGTGCATGTGGCATGACTGGATTTCGGGGTCGAAGACCGTGAAACAGCAGTGTGTGTGTTCTGTGGCTCCATGGGTAAGAGTTCAGCCAGATGATGGGTCAGGGTCTGAGGGTTCTGGACACTAGACCCCTTTTTACGGTTTGAGGCGGGCCGATTAGCGGTCGCCAAATGTCTTTCCGTGGTTTATGCGTCAGGGTCGCTGGGAGAGACGGGCTGAGACGGAAGTGAGCGGTTGTGGATAATGGCATGATGGTCTGTTTGACTCCGACGCTGGTGCGCAGCGGCCGGGGCGGACGGGCGGCTTGCGGTTCGCTGGGTATAGGGAACAGAACGTGCGACTAGATTGCTGCCGCCTCTGGATCATGACATTGAGTGATTAGGAGGTTCTGGATGCAAGAAAGTGTGTCTCTGTGTACGCGGCCTTTGGAGAGGGGTACAGAGAGCGCCAAAGATAGCAATAGTACACAGAGATGTGTTGGCAAGGACGATCTTTCAAGTCTGCAGTTGGATGCTTCTGAAGTTCGATGGCTGTAGTAAGTCTATGGTAAGTGTATAAGGCCGGCCAAGGGATTGTCAGCCTGCCAATGCTACGCATGACAAAGACGTGTAGGCATGGCCTTGTTCTAGAGACCGGTGTAAGCCCGCGTGTAGTACTGTCACCAAGTCTCCAGCTGCATCACTTGCAATTGTGTCTCTCAATTTGAGGATGGAAATTTCCTCTGCGTGCTGATGACGCGTCCCATGCTCAGCCTTGCTCCAGTGCGAAAATTGTGCAGCTGTTGGAGAATGGCGCAGTAAACGTTCCCACGAGTTTTCAAGAGGTTGGCCGATAATCGGTATCGTGTAAACTGACTTTGCCTGTACCTGCGATGCAGATCTGATAGGTAGGGCTTATCCTCATCTTAGCATGGGTTGCTGGCTACGCTGGAGGGATGAGCTGGTTTTGATTGGGCGGCAGGACCCGCGCGGGCATGAAGCAGTGACAGCTGTGACGTCTTAAGTCGTTGTTGACTCAAGACGAGTGTTTCAAGATTCAAAGGTCTCATGGCCAGTGGAATCGGGGAAGCTGGTCGGGTCAAGTCACTCCATGGCACTGGGACGGAGATTGCCGGACTAAAGACCGACTCCGCTCAGAGGACGGGACCATGTAGATCAGAATTTGCGGCTGGCGCTGACAGACTTGACAGGTGAGCTCGCAAAGCTGGCATAATGCGGTAGATGTGGATGTGGACGTGGACTTGTCGCTGCACTGGGCGCGGCAGGTTGTCCGGAGAGGCGTTCACGCTGACCGTCGGCGTAGACGCCAGGTGGTCTTGATGGCTGGTGGTGCTGCGGAATGTGAGCAAGTGCTGCGCCAGACGTACGTATACGACGGCTTTGTCATGTGCAGGCGTTGCATAGTAAGATGCTGAGGTCTAGAGTTGGCATCTAGACTCTAGCTCGTTTGCACTTGCTCTGCTTGCTGGCTGGCATGCAACCGAACTGGGCGCCCGCGCCACCAAGCCGGTAGATTGTGGCTCAATGGCTGCACGGCATGGAAGTTATTCGCGCAGGAGAGAAAAGAGGCCTGAGTGGACGAATAGCAGCGGGGTTCGCAAGCGTGCCCAGAAGGGTGCAGTATGACAGCACAGCCTCAGTGGTGGTGCAGCAGGGCAGGCGGTGATTCGTCTGTCCAACTTTCGGGCTCGGCGAGTATGCGCCGACAGTGCATCAAGTGCGTATGCCTAGCTGCACGAGAGTATACGGAGACTCGCCAGCTGGGTGCCATGGCCTTGGATGTTGTTGAAGGACTCGGGTTGCATGTACGGTTGCTGAAAATGACAGCCGTGACGTGACGTCAGAGGCTGGTGCCGTGGAAGCACCGCGGAGGGGCAGCAGATATCCGAGAATTAGCATTATGCTGATATTGTGTCTAGTGTACTAAGAATGGTGAAGCCGACGAGATGACCCGGCGCTCAGGAGAGAGGAAGAGCCGAAGTTTGCTGGGCGGAGGCAGTGATCGGCGGGCGAGCGAGCCAACCGGGTTGGGCCTGCTTCCTTCTATTTCGAGAAGGGGGACTCCGCCTCAGTCTGAAACGGCAAGGGCGAGGGCCCCAGCAAAGAAGCCGCCGTCGCCCATCCTCGCCCTCGCTCTGCCTCTCTTCCACCAGACTCGCATCCGACAATTGCACTCTGCATCAACACCAGCAACAACAATCCTCTCACCACCAACACACTCGCTCTATCGCATCAAACGTGCTCGCAGGAGGCGCGGATCCATCGGCACAGCCACACTTCCGGCAGAACCGGCCCAGCGTCGAGCTGACGACGACTTTCCAGCAGGCTAACCGCTCCTGTCACGCACCCAGTGCCCGCAACACAACACCCCAAGACTGCCGCTTGCCTGCCTAAGGACCGCTCAAACACGATCAGCGACTCCCCAGCAGTCGAACAAACAATAGCGACATGGCTACCGCCGTCCAGCCTGCCATGACCATGGCCCCCTTCAACGGCCACCCGAACCAATGCGTCGACCCCAATGAGTTCTTCGACTTTGGCCAGATGCCCTCGCCCACGCAGCCTGCCACTCTGAAGCGGGAGTCCAGTGCGACGTCGACCATGGCCAGTCCCACCAGCACAAACATCGACGACGACCTCCAGACCCCCGCAAAGCCCAGCCACGAGTACGAGCGCTTCAAGCAGCAAACCGGCCTGCCTACCAACTCGCTTCCCGGCCTTAACGCCGGCTACAACACGGGCTTCCCCATGTTCTCGTCCACTGGCTTGGACGAGATGGCCATGATGGGCGGCGACTCCATGATGGACGGCGCCTGGAACAACGGCCTGCCCATGGACGTCGGCATGAACATGGCCGTCGACTACCGCCAGAACAGCTTCGTCTTCAACGAGGCCGCCCAAGACGACTTCGTCGACCCCAGCGCCATCACACAAGAGGAGGTCACCAACGTCAGGGTCTGGCCCGGTATGCATCAACAGCAGGCTGCCATGGCCAAGGCGCAGGCGCAGGCCCAGCAGCAGCGCGCACAACAGTTGGCCCACCAGAAGCAACAGCAGGCCCTCCAGCAACAACAACAACAACAGCAGCAGCAAGCGCAACAACAGCAACAGAACCGCATGGCCTCTACCGGCTCGGCCAGCCGCAAGACCTCGAGCCCGCTCAGCGACGCCCACACCGAGGAGATGATCACCCGCGTCGTCGCACAGATCCGGGCCGACAGCCAGAACGCGTCTGCCAACATGGCCAACGACAACCAAGGCCTCCTCCCCCACATCATCCGCGCAAAGAAGGACGAAGAGGACATGGACGAGGATGAGAGGCTGCTTGCGTCTGAGGAGGGCAAGAAGCTCAGCTCCAAGGAGCGCCGCCAGCTCCGTAACAAGGTCTCCGCTCGCGCTTTCCGCTCGAGAAGGAAGGGTAAGCTACATCGACACCAGTACACTTACAATATCAACTAACATCACCAGAATACATTGGCCAGCTCGAAGGCGAGGTTGCCATGAAGGTCAACGAGGCCAACGAACTCCGCTCCCAGAACCGCCTCCTCATGGAGGAGAACGCCCGCTCGCGTGCTTTCATCGAGCGTCTGCTCCGCCACCAGGCCTTCACTCCCTTCCTCGAGGAGCTCTCTCGCGACGAGTCGCTCCAAGCCAAGGCCCCCATGACCTCCATGCCCTCGACCTCAGCACCCGTCGCAGCTGCTCCTACCCCCACTCAGTTCCAGCAACAACAGCAGTTCAACGGCATGTCGCAAGCCGAGAACACCCATGTTGGTATGACCATGGTCCCCGAGCCCCAACTCGACTTTGCTATGCTCAACCTGAACACCAACAATGGCAACAACTGGGGTGCTAACAATGGCTTCAATTTCCAGCAACCCGTTGCTTTCGCCGTCACTGAGCTGCCTGAGGGCCCTACCAACCCCCTCGACATCGAGGCCATGTCTGGCAAGGGATACAGCGCTATCCTGAACGCTGAAGACGACTCGACTGTCGAGGAGGTCAAGGCTGACTACCCCATCGTCGAGCGACCTGTCCAGTCCGAGCCCACTGTCCCCGCTGCCGCCGATGAGACCGAGGAGGTAGATGCCGAGTACGACCTATACTACTCTTCGTCCGCTCCCTCCACCACTGCCGCCGCGCCGCTTGAGAACCACGAGGCACTCTTCGCCAACCCCGAGAAGGCCTTCGCACACTACTCGCTAGTCATCTCAGACGAAGCGAACGAGGCACTTCTAGCAGAGCGTCTGGCGAGGAAGATTGCTGCCATGAGCCCCGCCATGCAAAGATTAGCCGACATCACATCGTCGTTTGACTTATAGCCAATGACTCTACAATTTGTCCCATTCTGATCTTTCCCTTCTCAAACACTGCAGCGATTTTTTGTTTTCATAGACTGTCCTACATGATTGTAACGATTCCCTTTGTTTGATCATATATATCCAAGTCGGGCTGTTCCGACGTGCGACTTGGGTTTCAGCCGCAATCAGCGAGTAGGCCTTCTTTTGCTTTTCCTTTGTTCTTTCGGTACCGCGCGATGGTTGGTCATGCGTACCTTGATCCTGTGTTCTGGATGGCGTTCAACCGGCAATGGGTTTTCTTGTAGATATATTCTGACCCCAAGGTCTGTTGGGGGTCGATGAAGTAGTCGGAATTGGGGTTACGTAGAGGCGGATGTGGGGATTGAATATAGTGATGAAGTTACTTCTTGTCCTACATGCTTGACTGTGATGACTTCTTCCTCTCTGCCCCTTCTCACTCATTGACTACAGTGTCGCCATCCATCCGCCCGGTCCCCAAGTCTTGCTACCCCCCACGCCGCCTCTGCCCTACACTCTTTACCCAGATTAACAACCCGAACCCTCCGTCCTCCACCCCCCGTATCTGCACCCTGCCCCAATGCACGTCTACCCTGCATACCGATATCGCATCCCGACTACCGTCTTTTAATATAACATTTCTCCACATTCCACCTTACACATTCCTCATTGCAACGAGCCCTCGTGTTGTAGAGCGATTTAGAGAGTTTGCATTGGTGGTCCTCATGCGCCGGGTACTATCATTGACTCCCGTTGCGTATACTGGGGATAGTGTTATAGGGTGTTATCCTGGGGGTATAGTATAGATTGTATGGGTGAATTGCAGGGATGGTGGTTGAGGAGGAGGAGGAGGGGAGATAGTGGGTGGTCGACGAGGGAGATGGAGTGGGGGGTATGTTGTTGCTCGGGTGCTCGGGTGGATGGCGAGGCACGGTACTGTACATGCGGAGAGATGGGTGCATGCTTTGTGTCGAAGACATTAGAAAGACAAGTATCACACTGCCCAGGTGGATACGCATACGTTGAACTTGATGAGTTGATATATACCTTGGACTTGTATCCAGCATCCGGAACGCCTATTACCCTAGTATACAACCCACTTTAAACTGGACTTTCTTCTTCTTCTCCCTTCTTTCACCTTACTTCCTCTCCATATCCGCGAGAGTCATACCCCCGCTCAGTGCGTTCCTGGCTCGTGCATGTTGGTCTTGCCAGCGGGTTCGTGCGCCGTCGACGGCTGCGCCTTCTTTTGCTGCGACGATGGTCGTGTAGGTTATGCCGAATGCTGTGGCGTGGGTTGTTAGTTAGATGTTGGATGTTGGATGTGATTGATGAAGGAGAATAGGAGACGGGATGGTGAGGCTTACCTAGGAAGGCGGCGAAGGAGGGGAGGTAGGATCTTGGTACTGCTGGCATTTTGGGTGGATTGGTTGGGTATGTGTTTAGTGTTGTTGGTTTGCTTTGTCGGCTTGATTGATGATTGGTGAGATAAAAAAGATTGCCGATTAATTGTATGCAAGACGCTTATTGTATGTGCGATATAAGGTATTGGAGGTTGATAGGGTTGTATAGTTGAAGATGGATGTGACTGGATGTAGATGATGAATACCAACGGAAGAAATCCATTTACCTTATATCTACTCATCAGGGTTCCTTGAAGCAATACTCACGGTGTCGGTACCTGCCGACGACATCAACTCCCTCCTCACACAGGTCGATCGCGTGATACCATAATACCAACACCAAGGCAAGCGCCTTACACCAACATGCGAAAACCCCAACCCAGTTCCTGAGATCGCGAGACACGACAGACAATTCACACAACCATTGGCCAAAACCACTCAATATACAATCACATCGTCTGACACGCCTCGATAATCCACAACGAAAGAGTTCTGGTGGCGAGACACATGCAGCAAGAACACCGTGTTCGGGCGTTGCCGGGATGCGTGTGGGGTGACCCGTTGGCGAGGGTCGTACGATAGTAGGGCGACCGCTCAGCCGGGTTTGTGCGCATGGTGGGTACGTAAACCTGCTTTAATTAGCTGCACTTTGCGATTTTGGGGTTGCTGTTGATAGTGATGGGGTCTTGGTTGTTTGTAGGGCGATTTGACGGTGAAGGAAGGATGGGGTTGGCGGGAGGGTAGCGCCGCCGAGGTGATGACGAACTGGGTCTCTTTCGGTATTGGAGCCTCAACGTGCTCCTGGCATTCTGAGGCCTTCACTCTTGTCTAGGCTGAGATTTTTGATTGCTAAAGTGGTGTTATTTAAGTGTCTTGCGAGCTGAATGCCAATGCTTTGGTAGAAGCATTTCTCCGAGCTACATTTCAAGTACACGCGCAAAAAGAGGACAATTATGCATAAGAGGCTTTCTAGATCTCCAATCCTTATTTCTGTGACGCTCTCGAGAGACCTGGAAAAGTTTCCCTACTGGAACGTCCTTGATGGGCGCCTCATTACACTGGAATCCAGCAGCGATGCCTCAACCATTAGTAGCTTCAGGCCAGCCATCCCTTCTCTTGTGTCATGATCTCCTGCGAAGTTGTAGAGCTACTAGATCCGCTTCAACTTCCCGAAGTGCTTGCCTTCCTCCCAGTTGCGTTGCCACTCCTTCTCCGTCATGCACTCACCCAACTGACAAGTCCACATCTTTCCAGGCCCAAAGTCCTTTTGGTATTGCTCAAAGTCGAATACTTGTCCATCGCTGGCTGTTTTCTCGCTCACATCTGCTGTCGGCTTAGGCCGGATTGTGACATTGACGGGGTCGTAGAGAGAATACTGCGGCTGCCCCATGTCTACAATCCACTCATAGAATATGCGTATATAATCTTTCATGAGTCGTAGATCACGTGAAGTCTCTCTGAGTAAACCGCCAAGCTCAAGAGCTATCTCGACTTCTAGCTTCGAGCCAGTTGCCGTTATGTTGTGACGTAGAGCCTGCGGCGGAACTTTAGGCACATCCTGATCCTTAGAACCACTCTGGCGACTAGGAATGTAGCGCTTAATATGTATCTTCATGGACTCATTTTGAGGGTCAGATGAAGTATAGTTCGCCATAACGTGGACGGCGGTGTCACACAAGTCTCTCGCATTGGTGAAGATACGAAGTGGTTGGCCATCTAATCTTGACCCCAGCACGGCGGAGACTTCGTGGAATATCTGGCGACAGGTAGTGAGTAGTTCCATGCACGGGATGCGTTCCAAGACAAGGGTGAAGGGTGTGTGGGTTGGCGTATCTGGTATTTGTACCGTATAACGACGAGTTTCGGTAGGAAAAAGGTCGTATATTTCCAGACGGATGTCCTTGGGTAGATCGAGGAAGCGGAACCCTTGAGTATCTTCCATCGCGAGCTAATCGGCAGTCGGTTGTTAGTGCAGTGAACTGTATAGGACGCGCTTGACTATCACCTACTGATGTCTTTGGGATCACTCGGTCGGAGTTGCGCAGTGTCAGGTGTTTCCCGCGACAGCAGTTGCGAATGGAACCGCGCTCGGAAACGGTGGGTAGAGGTGAGGGTGAGAAGGATCGGAAGCTCTTGCCTAGAATGAGTCGAGGCGCTGTATGCGGAATAGTACGACAACAAAACTGGACCCTGACGGTGGAGAGGCGGCGCAAGGCAAGCACGCAGCTGATGGAAAAATTCACGAGTACCGCAAGAGGAGGTAGCGAATCAAGGTAAGGTTTAGATTAATTAAAGAAATATTGATAAACTATTCGGACGTTTGTCTGCCCTGCAGAGAGCTGCAGATGTACACCGTTCCTTCCAAGCAAGATGACTCCTCCACCAATACGCATGCGCGTCCTTCTTTCCTTTCCGCCGTTCTCAGAGACAGCGACGCTCTAGCCAACAGCATGTACACGCGAGTTCGGGACTCGAGCGAGTACATGCATGAAGCGTGCATCTAGCTGTCTCTTCCACCACTGTCTTCGCTTCCGCCGCCTATGCGTGAAGCCGGAGTCCTAGGGCTGGGCAATGTTGAACCAACCAGAAAGCGCTTGCGGGCCGACCCAGTTGGGCCGACGCAGGTGCTGTCTGATCTGCTACGAGTCCGTGCCCAGATGATATCCCACGCCTCCGGCTGGCTACCAGAGTCATCGTTGGTTTGGTCGTTAATCCGTGTCGTGTTCGTCGTAAAAACATGTATCGTCCGTTGAAATGGATGCCCATGCGAAGGAGTAGAGATGTGCAAAGAACCAGCACTCTAATCATCACGGATCTTCGTAATCGTAGAAACCATCGAAAAGATCCGTGACCACCTTGAGCATCGGCTCCATCAAGGTCCTCTCATCCTCCGGTAGTCCACCAAAGATGCGCAGTCGTTGAGTCTCCAACTCTTGCTCCTGCTCCTGTTGTAGTCGAAGCCGGGTTTGCCATGCGGTGTAAGTTTGCTGCCAGTGGTTCGCACTGGCACTCGCAATGGAGCCTTGAGGATGGAAGCAGGAGCTGGTTGCGGAGAGAGTTGAAGAGGTAGTGCTGACCGACTCGCTTCGAGTGTGGTTGATGACCTGCGGAGGTGAATTGTCGTGGTTGTTGTTGCGGTTCCGAGGACGGCTTCTAGTTCGTTTTCTGTTGTGACGTTTGCCCATGTCGTCTATTTCAAGTTCTTGTGGATGTGTGAATAAGTAATAATAGGGTTGAGGGGAGATGGAGAGTGGTGGGGCGAAAAGCCGCAAAGGCGGCTGATAGTCTCAGGAGAGTCAAGCATTGGAGCAAGATACCTACCCAGCCTTATATACATGGGATGACATTGAATCACGTATGCAGGTACAGGCTAAGTCAAGGATGTCAGTAGGCTGCAGAGTGACTCAGAGCCGCACGATGGTGTGACGGGGAGAAGGAAGATGCTAGATCACAGCCTAGATGACAGCGAATGCGGGCCCACTATTGCACCCGTGCCCGCCCATGATTGGCCACATGGCATCGCCGAAATTCGGGACCTGCAGGAGTCATCCTCGCGGCGGGCATGCACAACTCATGTCTCCACAGAGTCTTCACCTCTCTTTGCTCCAACTCAGCGCAATTTCCTTGTTTCACCTTCTTTTGCTTCTTCGACTCACCACTCTGACGACATGTATACGGACAAAGGGCGCGCGCGTGATGTGCACAACCGTGGCGGTGCGCTATTCTGCCTTCTCTTCCTACCACGCGACTCTTGCAAACTGGGGCTATGCAACAGTCACCGCGAACTCAGGGGACAAATGACTACAGACAAGCGCATGCAGGACTTGTACCTGTTGAACGACCGACATGTGCCTGGCCATGCGACAGCCCAGGATCGCGGAGGGCGGATGGAAAACCTCGACCGCGCTCTGACCGCCATGGGGTCGAGGGCGACGGGATGCGCTGCGTGGGGATGCCACATCACGTTGCCGACCGCCATGTCGACTAGACGGTGAACGTGAACCCGGAAGTTATACTATGTGTTAACATGGGATGAAGTTTTTGATGAGAAAGACATTCGCACAGGCTCCCAAGGTCATTACTCACGTCATCTGCCACACTAGCCACACGGGTGACCAGTAATCGCGATCGCACCTCTCGCGTTCAGTCCGGCACCCGACCAGCGGCCATGTTCGCAGCAAACCTGGAATAGCAGCTTCAAAGATTTGTCGCCTAGTCGCTGCCTACACCCGCGAACGAAGGATCATGCTAATGCTAGCCAAGTCAAGCGAGTCAGACGCGTGCCTGCGCAAGGCTACAGGCACGTCGCGCAAACACGTGCTCAGGATTGCTGAACCATCCAGGCCTCCATGAGACGACCTTACTAATCCTGTATCGACGTCAACGACATCTTCTGCCTGAGGCATTCGTCACATCATGAGAGTCGGTGCTTTCCCAACATGTTTCGCCGACATCTTACTTCCGGCTCTCCACCATGTGCACCCCGGCCCCAAGTCAGACTAGCATGTCAATGTCCACCACTCGAAACACACGAAAAAGCTGCGGAAACGCGTAAGCTCGACCATTTTCTGTTCTAAACAGCGTCATCTGTGTCACTCCCAGACGTGAATCATCGATTTGGCGCTGTTCGGCTTGTGTTGTGGGTGATGATGTTAGATCAGCCGTCGCAGGTAAGAATAGATTAACTAGCCAATATTTCTTTCTACCGATCTATAGACCTTCAAATCGAACTTGCTTGGGTCTTTCTCGTTCCACATCTTCACTATGACTTTTAGCACACGAGCGACGCTGCTTAGCTTAGGTATGAAGCCAATCCTGGAAATCGAGGACTAAATTGATGAGATGATAGCAGCAACCACAGTTTCTGCGCAGTACGGCCCCGGTGGTCAATACGGTCCAGGCGGATTCGGAGGAGGTAGTGACAGCGGCGATAACGATTTCGGCTCATCATTTGGCGGCGGCCGTGGCGGCTTCTCATCAGCATCACGACATAAGATCATCGTAGCCCATGGTGTCCTCGCAGCCCTGGCCTTTGTCTTATTCTTCCCAGTTGGATCGATCCTCATACGACTAGGATCGTTTCGCGGCGTCTGGATCGTCCATGGCATATTCCAACTCTTTGCGTATGTTGTGTACATCGCAGCATTCGGTCTCGGCGTGTGGATGATCAACAACATCCCAGTCAACATGCTCGACAACTACCACCCGATTATTGGCATCATTGTCTTTGTCCTGCTCTTCTTCCAACCCATTCTTGGTTTCGTCCACCACCTCAAGTTCAAGAAATACAGCCGCCGGACTATCTGGTCGTACGGTCACCTCTGGTTGGGGCGCATTCTGATCACGCTGGGCATGATCAATGGTGGCCTTGGCCTGCTACTTGCATCGGATGCGCCCGCGTTCACCGGATTCGCTCCCAGTCAAGGCCAGATCATCGCATACGGAGTTATCGCCGGAATCATGTGGCTGCTTTGGGTTTCGGCCTCGATCTATGGGGAGAGGAAGAGAACGATCTCACACCGGGCGGCAGTGAACAAGGAGGTCGATGCCGGGTCACCTGCGCGCCCCTATGACGATGGCAAGGAATTATACGCGTACGGTGGTTCCTATTCCTGTTCTGATCTACAGATTGCTAACCCAATAACAGGCAGCGAACTTATGCTTAGAGTTACCGATATATCCTCACAGCCGTCTACAGTAGCGTGCTACAATACCAAACCATTTATTCCGTGATCCATTTAATATCTTCTCATGCAACTCACCTAACCTCGCGTGATCAACTCCTTTTCTCCCTCCTTACACTTTGGGTGAATTACCGTTCAACAGCTACAGGCAGGACCCCTTGTCTTCTGATGATTAGGACGACTCTTCGTTTTCTGTCTTTTTGCATGCGTTGGCAAGCAACACGATCCCGATGTTCAAGATGATGAACCCAATCTGCGAACGAAGAAGTGCGTTAGTAAGAACGTTCAATGCGCCCAACATGTTTCCTCCACTGCCGCAAAAGGAGTAGACTTACCGGCAGAGCAAAGAACCAAGACATCCCTATTGCCAGCACAAAGTTTCCTTTATCATCTGGATCTTTCTGTTGCAGCACATACGCCAAGATACAAGCTGCAACGTACGTCATCCCGGTGAAATGATGAATGGCCGATCGACCGGAATACGACATATCTTTAGGAAGCTTATGGTGTGCAATCAAGCACCCCAACAGCAACAACATCGCTGCCATCTGTTCACATAAATCAGTAAGAACTTCTCAATATGGATTTTGGCGTAGTTAGATAAGAGACTGGCGGAGAGAAACGACTTACCGGTACGAAAACGGCCCACATCAACATGACCCCTGTTATATCGTGATTCATTTCATACAGTGCTACGGCAGCTACGGTGAGGAATGTTAGAAGCATCATGATTGCTGGAGGTGACCGGATGAACGAGGGCCGACGGGTGTGAGGTGGAGAATATGAGGAGGACGCGGACTCGAGGTCGCCTTCTTCGTCACATCTGCTTCCTAAGTTACTGCCGTAGTTGAAATGCATGTTGCGTGCTGAGTATGGTGGTAGCATTGTGGGGTGAGAATTCTGGGTGATTAGTGCAATGCGTGTAGTGGAAAGTCTTCGATTCTTTTGCGCGAAACAATGAAACAATCAGATGTTTACTGCTCAATTGCACTGTGAAAGCTACAGCAAAGTCACAGCGCACGAGTAAATGTCCATGTGCCGAGGGAACGCGCGTTGACTTTCGATACCCCCACGTGTCTAACCCTTTTACTTCTTGCTCATCTTGCTCGTACCATCATTCCCAAGCAGCAAGCCTCCCCCTTTCGTGACTCGGATACTGTGTTATCGTCTCGCTTATTCCATACTGTTACAACTAGCAGCACGGCCAGGTTCAATACGAAGTATCCCATCTGCATCAAGAACGCGTCAGCAAGCAAAC